TTTTTTCAACTTCTTGTCTAATGACTTGCATTGTATTGAATTAAATTGTTCAGTTCATTGTTCCCCTCTGTCTTATTTCTTGAAACATTGGCTTTGTTTGTGTACTGCGGAGACGATGGAATGCGCAATGAGAATGAGAAACAACCCCACGGTAATGATACCCACGCAATGCAGAAGGGAAAGGGGGAATAAGGGGAAAAGAGAATATGAGCAGCATGGCCCCGATCCGAGTACTTGTGTATAATTCAATAACACTGTTCAAACATGATCAATGTTGTCCTACCGTACACAGCAGATCAACAACCCGCGGTAAACTATCGTATAACTCCGGGGATAGGAGTTAAGATGCCAAAAAGCGGAGTAACTGATGCACTAACTTTAGTGTCTGCCGTCTCGAATGACATAAACGGCAGCAAAACAACTTATCGATAAGCGATAGTAACCAACTCCAAACCACCTAGTGACGCGCTAATTGAGAGTCAACGACACTGTCACTGTCACTTCTCAAGGCATTCTTGCTTCACAGTCAGAGAATTAAAAGGGTGACTGACATGATCCTCGTAGCTTATCACTGCACTGACTCGACCCTTGCCACTCTACTGCTTGTACTATGAGCTCGCCCCCCGGACCCCCTCCTCCCGGCGGTGACCGACCGCAGACCTCGGGCGGCCACCCCGATTCCCCCACAGTGTGGCATCCCGCGAGTGAATGGCCCGACGACGAAGACGAAGATGGGAATGACGTGGACTTTCAACCCGAATTTGAGCACTCGGGGGATATACCCGAGTTGGAGGATGAATCTATTGAAGATGAGGAGCTCGATATCGGTGCTGCTGCTTTTCTCTTTCCTTCTTTATCTCCCCCATCCCATCCCCTCATTTCGCGTGTTTGTATGGCGCAGTGTGACTAATCGTATCTCGAGTACATTCGGTAGATCCTGAATTACATTTGGGGAACATACATATCGAATTCGATATGGACGACGCCAATACCGACCAACAGGGCGAGGATGCGCATGATGGGAGACAAACTCGGGGTACGCGCTTTTCTATCTACACTTCTACCCCACCTTTCTGAGCAAAGCACCCACCCCTTGTGAAAAGCGCGGACTGGACTAATGGTGGGAAAATTCCATGGCAGTGTCTGCAGCCCGATTACTGAATCTTCTTGCATCGAATGGCCTCCGGCGCATTCTTCGTTATAACGGCTGGCGCGACGGGGCCTGGGAAGAAGAGGACGACGAGGAGGACGATCTGGGCGGTTTCCTCCGATACCGTCGCCGGCCAGCCAATTCTGGGAGGGATGAGCTGCCCAAGGTGCCCAGCGACGAGGGCACGAAGCTGATGGGGTCCGGCGATTTCGGGAGTAATCCGTATTTCGTCGATGTGCTGAAAAAACGCAAGAGGTCGCTTGCGACGAAATTGATGTGGCGGGAATTAGGGGTCGACGTTGATAATTCCCAGAGGAGGCCGGTGCAGTCGATATCTCAGGTAAGGCGGTGGGATTTGACTCTATATGGGGAGTAGATGCTGACAAGGGTACGATATACAGGATCTCATACCGGAGTCGGTAGCGGATAAGATCATCCATTTCGACTCGCGATGTTACTCTGGGCAGTTCTCGGATGACGGGAACTTCTTCTTTTGCTGCTCGCAGGATTTCAAGGTCCGGATGTACGATACGTCGAATCCGGTGGACTGGAAGTACTACAAGACTGTGGATTATCCGTTCGGCAGCTGGACTATCACGGATGCCACCCTGAGCCCGGATAACCGGTTTCTAGCGTATAGCTCTATACGAAACATGGTCTGTCTTGCGCCTACGGATCCGGCGGATAGGTCTGACCCGGCTATCCTTGATCTTTCTTCGGTTCCTGGGGGGAGGGCTGGTCGCAGGTTTGGCAGCTCGCATTTTGGGGTAGGCTTGCTCAGGTCCGGTTACATATGTCTGTGCTAACCAGAGTGATAATGCTAGATCTGGTCGCTTCGATTTTCTGGGGACGGTCGTGAGATTGTGGCGGGCACAGACGACGATTCTGTTGTTGTTTATGATTTGGAGACCCGACAGTCGGTTTTGCATGTACAAAACCACGAAGACCACGTCAATGCCGTCTGTTTTGGAGACAAGTCTTCGCCTCACATCCTCTACTCCGGGTCTGACGACACTACGCTGCGAGTCTGGGATAGACGCTCGATGGGCGATGGGCGCGAAGCCGGGGTGTTTATGGGCCATACTGAAGGGCTTACCTATGTCGACAGCAAGGGCGATGGCCGGTACATTCTTTCGAATGGCAAAGATCAGTCCATGAAGCTATGGGATTTGAGAAAGATGATGACGACAGCGGACTTTGACAAGATCAACGTGGGCCACCACGCTACCGGCTTCGATTACCGGACCGAGTCATACCCTGATGACTACTACGAAGCCCATCCCAATGACTGTTCGGTGGTCACATTCCGGGGTCATCGCGTTCTCCGGACCCTGATCCGATGTCACTTTTCACCTCCCGGCAGCACCGACTCGCGCTATGTATACACTGGTAGCCAGGATGGCAAGGTCTACGTGTATAACATGGACGCGACCCTCGCAGGGACTATCGATGTCGGCCAGGCGACGATCAACACGAGACCTCAAGATCCAGATATCTTCACCATGTTTGGAAGCAGACATGATGGACTGTGGAGGACTTGCGTACGAGATGCGAGTTGGCATCCCAGTGCTCCTGTCCTAGCTGGTAAGCTGACTTCCTCCCCCCACCCCAAGCCCGCTCCTGACACGACTGACCTGCTGAAGCAACGTCCTGGAACGGCTGGGGCATGTCGACTGGCACCTGCACTGTACACTCATGGAATGACTCGGCTTCGTCAGACGAAGGCGATCCGCCTCTGGGAACAAGCTACGATGCTCGGTTAAAATACCATCGCGGGTTTAACGATTTTAAAGCAAACTTGGACCGGCGAGATGCTTTCTTGCGGTTCCGTGAGAACTTTGGCCCGAACCCTAGTGCTCCGGACTTGCGTACTTCGACTGATCCGGAGGATACGTGGGATTTGCCGTATGGTTCATGATGGGATGATGGGATATTATTGAGACTGAAGTCTTTGAATAACGATCTACTGTAATTGGCTCTTGCTTTTTCATGCATGTAGATACATTCATAGAAAATCTATCATTCGGTTCACTTTCTCAATTTGGTGTTTGTATTGATGTATCCGCTATCAAGACGGAAAGTCCGTTGAGAGTACAATGTCGGAGTATGGTTGAGCCGTTCCGAGCAGCTCCACCGGCGTCTTCGAGGTCGAAGCTCGGCCGTCCCTTCTTCTTCCCTATCGCGCTCCACTCCGACACGTCTTCCCAAGGGATCTCTCTCCGTACTCATAGTCTATTTTCGACCATCACTGTCATACCTCAGTTACTCAACCCCTTCTTGTACTTTCGATTTCTCCTTCTCGACCGGAGCGCTGGCGGCTACCATTCAGGGGATACCATTCGGGCGGAGGTCCTAACGTACTTCCTGGGTTGCATCAGTGTTCTGGTGGTTTCTGAGCAAGTTGGAAGGCTCTACTTGCTGTGTTTTCTTCTCCATCTCGTGTCCTAACCTACTGTCTCCTCTTTTGAGTTTTACTCGACCTGTTAGCAAAGGTGCTGTCTGCCGGATTGTGGCAACGGAACAACACGCGGCGCGCCCGTCTTCCTGTGGAATTACTTCTCTCGCATCCCCGTCTCACTGATTAGATCATTATCTTCCCACCCTTATACTCTTTCTATCTCTCTCTCTACCTGTACTTGGAATCCTGGAACAAGAAACGCAAATTCTTTTGTGCTCTGTGTACCCATCCAGAGCTCGCGGTTGATCACAAACGGTGAAGACTTTGTTCCTTGTTGAAGCTGTGTTTGCTTCGGATTGTACGTATTATCGAGCCTTTTTATCCTCTGTCGCTGCTTGTTTGGTTTCTCTTTCTCCGTTGCTTTCTCCCCTGTGGTCGTTGAGTTGCGAAATGGGTTGTGGACAATGCCCCGAGGACGAACCGGGGTTGTCCTTTTGGGCTTCCGAGCATGCGCACTATATTGCCTCCCCTGGATGATGCCTTCCTTGCTAATTGACGGCCTGTATCTGCAGACATGTACTTGCATTGATTCATCATCGAACCTGAGAAAGAACAAAGAACAAGAACAAAAAAAAAAGGAGTGTATTTCGCAAGCAAGCAAGCAATCAAATTTTGCCTTGAGAACTCGATATATATCTTAACACCATGGCTACTGAAGATGATAACTTCGATATTGACATCTATGGCGATGGTGGTGGCTACAACGCCAATGATCAAGGGGACTACAAACCGGAAGAGGGAAATAAACAGGAGGATTCGGAGCTGATCCTTGATGCCCCTGACCAGACGCAGAGTGGCGCTCCTTCGCATTCTGACGGCGCTTCCGAGTCCACCGTGAAGAATGACGGTCCGAACCCCAACGGTGAGCACGTAACACAGTCGACTACCGGCACTCCTCAGCAGCAGCATACACCCAGCGAGACTCCTGCTCCCCAGCAGGGCGTGAAACGCAAGGAGCACGATGACCGTCCGTCCGACCCGGACGCGACGCCTGCCTTGCTGGTCTCCGACCTCTTCTGGTGGACTACGGATGACGACGTCCGAGGCTGGGTGAACGAGGCCGGGTCCGAGGATGAGCTGAAGGATGTGACCTTCAGCGAACACAAGGTGAACGGAAAGAGCAAGGGGTATGGTCGTCCATTCTTCCATTCGGCGGGGTTATGCTAATCTCGGTTTAGGCAAGTATTCATCGAATTCACCACTCTCCAGGCGTCCACTGCGGTTAAACACAAAATCGAGTCGTTCGGCGCGTCGGGACGGAAATATGCCATCGTGTACACCAACCCCCAACCGAACCCCTTCCGTACTCTCCCGAAAGATGCCCCCATGCGGAAGGACAACCAAGCTCGACAAATGTCTCAGGGCTTCAACTCGCCCAACCAGAACGCCAACTTCGGAATGAACAACATGGGCGGAGGTTTCCGCGGCGGCCGGGGTGGTTACAACAACCGAGGCGGCATGAACAACATGGGCGGGAACTTTGGCAACCGCAATTTCCAGAACCCTATGGGCGGCGGGTTTCAAAACCCGATGGTCGGGGGCTTCCAAGGAAACGCCATGGGGATGCCGGGCTACGGGTTCAACAACCGGGGCGGCATGATGGGTGGCGGGATGCGCGGCGGCCCTGGAGGCATGCGCGGCCGCGGCGGTGGCGGTATGGGCGGACCCAACATGATGGGGATGCCGGCGATGAACCCGATGGGAGGCATGGCGATGAACCCCATGGCCGGTGGGATGGCCCCGATGATGGGTGGAATGGGCGCCAACATGGCTATGCCAGGTACGTTGTCTGAAAGGTTGACTCCTTAGGGAAGGAGTCTAAAGATTGTGCATCTCCTGACCACCGTTCTTGCTAGGTAAAGGCGGCTTCCAAGCTCCCAATCCCGGATTCAACCAAGGCTTCTTCCCCAACCAAGGAGTCGGTGACGGGTCATGGAACCCTCACGGCGCCAAGCGCAGCCGACAGGAATGAACGCGACGTTCCCGCATATTTTAATTGTTTCGGCTTTTACGCCAGTATCGTGGAGCATCAGAACGGACCTTTTTCTACGCCACATGTCTTAACTATATCTATCACTTCTTATTGCTCTGGGTTTGCGTTGCGTTTCTACTAACTGCTTATTCTTTAACGGGTCAACGGGGAAATTGGATTCTATTTCTTTCTTTTTTCTTTCTTTCTTTCTCTCTCTCTATTTTTTTTTCTGCGGGTTTTTAGCTTTTCTCAGGGTGTATTAGACAAATCGAATGTTTCCCTTTTCTTTTATCATCTTCTTTTTTCTTTTTCTCTTATGTGCTAGTCGTGGATGCAGATCGCATCATGGCAGAGCTTCGGTTGTAATGATAATATACCCAGGTATTGTTCTGTAAGATGCAAGTGGAGATTATTTGTATGATTTAATCTAGTGATACGCTTTGATTGAATCAATCAATGAAGTTCTATCTGTACTCTGACTGCAACAGTCTATCATCGAAGTTCACAACACCAAGTAATGCCAACTTGGAGAAAGCGGAGTCAAGACCGGACCAATAATCGCCCGAACACGATCAGCATAAACTCGCATGGAGGAGTCATCACGAATAATGAATGCTTCATTTCTGGACCTGATTATCCCCGACCTTATCGGACTGACCAACCCCTCCTCTTTCTCCTCCACCTTCTCCTTATACCACCCTCTCCGACTCTTCCCCCGGCCTACTCGGCACATACCTTTCTTGAAGCCTGTATCTCTCCCTTTCCACCAAGTAGATCACATTCGACGTCGCATCCAAGCCTCCCGTCCATCCGCGACCGGCTGGCTTCCCCGCGGTCCCCCCCACCTGTCTCAACCTGCCGTTGTACGTCTGTCTATCGTGACCAGTCAGTCGCGTTTACGATCACCATGCAGGCGGTTCCAGAGTCGCGACAGCAGTCGTTTGAGGAGATTTATGGCCCTCCCGAGAATTTTCTGGAAATAGAGGTGAGTTTGACTTGATTCTCTAAGTGCTTCAAATGCGTCATGACCGTCCTGCTGGAGCTTCTCTTATCTTGATTTTTGAAGCTCTTTGTTTCTTTCTCAATAGCGCGTTATACCAATATCCTTCAAACAAACACAAGGGATACAATATTATATTAACAAAATACAAAACAAAGGTCCGAAACCCCCAAACACACGGCACATCGCGCAACATGTACACTAGCTACGAGATCGTCTGCCGCACCAACATCCCCGCCTTCAAGCTCAAGCACTCCGTCGTGCGCCGCCGCTACTCCGACTTTGAATACTTCCGCGACATCCTCGAGCGCGAGAGCACGCGCGTCACCATTCCGCCGCTGCCGGGCAAGGTGTTTACGAACCGCTTCAGCGATGACGTGATTGAGCATCGCCGGGAGGGTCTGCAGCGGTTTTTGCAGATTGTGGCTGGTCATCCGTTGTTGCAGACGGGGAGTAAGGTGCTGGCTAGTTTTATACAGGGTATGTTACTTATTCTTTTTTCCCGTTCGTTTTTTTTTTTTTTTTTTTTTTTTGGCCCCTGGGTGGTGATTAGGGATGATATTGGGTTGATGGGTGGAAATGGCGGAACTGACATATTGAATATTTAGACCCGAACTGGGACCGCAATGCGTGGTAAATACAGCTAGATGCTGTTATGCTGATTGACCGATTACTATGATCATCTACCACTTACTATCCACCTACCCTATACGCCCGCCCCAGAAACCAGACAGACAGAGTTCTCTTATGTTCGTCAGGATACCCTATCAAACATCCCCCTATTCAATCCCCTACTTCACTATGTACAGAGAGTCTTCAACCCAGTGGAAAATACAACGCGGCCTTTCTTTTTTATCTATCCATTCTCCCATTCCAGGCGTGGCACTCTGCTTATTACTGCCCTTACTACCTTTCTACCAATCTCATATCTCCAGGTAGTCAGCCGGTCTTCCATTTGCTCAATACTCAATGCTCGATTCTCAATGTCACCCTTAGGTGATGTGATTGATGCTACTTGCTTACAGCTTGCTCAAGCTGCGTTTCGTTCCGTTCCCCTGTATAGTGTTTGTTTCCCTACTTCGTGCTGCTGTGGTGTTTTGCATCTGCCATTACATGACATTACCCAACCAATCTCCCAAGCGGCTTGTTCTTTCTTCTCCTTCTCTCTATTGTCGATCGTCTTTGTGTTTTCGCCCTCCCTGTGGATGGCGGATGGATGGATGGATGGCTGGGTGAAGAATTAAACATATACTAGGTTTTTTCAATGATTCTCCCGGCGACCCTACCCTGCTTAGAACAGATTATGACCTACTTTGAGCAGCATCTAATGAAAGTATATCCATCTGTCTATCCCCGCACTTACATACAATATAGATACTCTGTGCATTACTTACACTAGCACGAGTACTGACCGACAAACGGTGGTATAGCCCATGTATAGACCGAGTAGGTAGGTAGTAAAGTGGTAGATTGAGTTTATAGACTACCACTCTGAATCAATCATAAGACAAAATAGACGGAAAAAGTAACTCCAAATACACCCCAAATGCAACGCTAAACACGGAGTAAAACCAACGCTATATTAACAGCAAAGAAAGCAAGCAAGCAAGCAAACTAAGCCAATTCATCCCACGTCATAGGCGCAAGCGTATTATCCGTCCACGACCCGTCCACCACACCGGATGCCCCGTTGGAAGCTTCATCCAAAGGAAACGGGAATAACACTGTTGCGGGGGGCAGAGGAAGTACGGTTGAGCTTTCGAGGAGACTGTGTGGGGGGGCGGGGGGTGATAGTGTGGGGTCGATGGGTTTGGATTTGAGGGGGTCCCCTTCTTTGGCTTTTTCTTTTTCCTTGTCTTTGACTTTGTCTTTGTCGCGGGAGGCGGGTGGTTTGGGGGTAGGGTTGAGGTTGAGGTTGTTGTTGTTTAGTGGTGGTAGGGATGGTAGTGATGGTGGGGACTTGTCGGTGCTATCTTGTAATTTGGGAGAGTTCTTGGACGGGCCGGGTAGTGTCTTGCCGCTGGCGGAGCCGCCGTCGCGGTAGGCGTGGGGGAATTTAGTGCGGAAGCGATCTCGGAGGTCGGTTGCGCGGCGGTGGCCGAGGTTCAGACGCGTGTCCTGCTGGATCAGCGTCCATTGGAAGCCGTGGACGGCGTAGCCTTTCAGCAAAGCTTCGTCTTCGGCGGTGGTGAACGGCCGGCGAGAGCGACGGCGCGATTTCATGGTAAAGTGCGGCTCCGGGATACCGAGGGATTCAAGGGTCGATTTGGACCGACTGGATAGAGTGGGCGTGGATTTGGGTGAGCCTTTGCTGGTGCTCTGGGGCGGGGGCTCCTTTGGCGTGACTTCCGCTGTCGGTGACGGCGGATCGTCTGGGCTGGCGCTTGTGGTCCCTCCCACTGGGGGGTCTGAATCAGCGGGCCAGGGGGCTGGTAGACGGATCTTGCCGGCAATTCCGTCAGACGCTTCGGTCTCGGCCCGCGAGAGAGCGTCGGCGAGGGTATCGCGGAGTTTCTTGGTCGCCTCGTTGGGGTCCTGTGCGCGGTACGCCCATGGACAGCAGACGCGGAACCGATCTTTCAGGTTCGAGGCGCTCCGTTTGTTGAATTCCAGCTCCGGTTGGGCGAGGATCGCCGTCCAGTTGCCGATTCCGCACTTCACCACGCCGCGGAGTAGCGCGGTGGTTTCTTCCTCGGTCCACTTGCGAACGTTCTTGCGCGAACGGCCTCGCGATTTTGGCGACAGCGGCGCAGTACCTTCCTGCGCAGGGGCCTCCACAGGCTCGTCAGCTCCCGCATCCCCCGTTTCGTGACCTGGATGGCTGGGTTCCGGGGCACGATGCTTCTCGCCATGGGGTTCCTCCCTCGCGGCAACGGGTGAATCAAGGATCTCTTCAATCCTGCCTTCCCTCTTCTCCCCATTCTGGCTAGCAGCTGCACTCTCGATCAGACTCTCTGAGGACGAGTCGGCCGCAAGTAGTAACGGCTCCACAGCGGACGCATCGCGCGAGGGCTTTGACAGCAGCTGGGAGATGGAACCGGCTTCGATGGGCGGGAGCAGGGCGGCGTTGGGTGGCGGCTCGTTCAGGCCGTTCAGAATAGCAAACGGTCCAAAGGGCGGGGGCCGTTGTTCCTTCTGGGCCTGGGGGATGGGAAGCTGCAGGTGTTCCCCGAAGGAGTCGGCATGGATGCCTAAACGGCGGCGTTTGCGCGCGTGCGTGTCGTCGTCGAAGGAGGAGTAGGGGAAGCGCTCCAGAGCCCGGAGATTGACGAAGGCGGGAAGGATGGGTTTGGGAGGAGGCTCGAGGCTCAGCTGTGGGTCTGCAGAGGCATCGCCGGGCTTCTTTGTTGTCCGCGCGACGTTCGAGCTCTCCGGTGCTCCTCCTCCGCTCGGGTCATTGTTGCGGGTGGATAGCGCGCCGGAGGAGTTGCTCGTCTTGGGGATGGCGCTGGGTTCGCGGGCTCCGCTGGCATCGGGCTCGAGCGGCGACGGTACGCTCAACACGCGGGAGGATACCGGTTGGCGAAGAGGGGCGATGCGGAAGCTCTGGAGCTGAGGTAGCTCTCGGACCTGGGACTCATCAAGCGCCTTGGCGAAGGTACCGGTAGAATCCATGGTCAGGAGATCACTACATCCGGAAGGCTAGGATCACATGTGGAGGCTGAACACCGTGGATAGGAAGAAATGTTTGACCAAGGCCATCGTGAGAGTACAATCCAGTCAAGACACTCTTGGGAGAGAGCCGTGGGATGGTTGAGACCGGGGACTGTTGTCTCCTGGTTGGTGGCACAGATGAAGTTATCGCCGATCACCTGACGCGATGCTGACTCAGAGGGTATCAATCACATTTCCTAAAGGGGTAATGGGGGTTGCACCCCGGTATGATCATCCTCTTTAAGGCTTACAGCGTATCCTGTCTGCATTCCTTTGCCTGTGGTGACTGTTGGTTTAATTAGCTTGGTCTAGGATTACGCCAGGTCTATATAATGACCACAGTTTCCCGTTGGCCCACGCCCTCCTCCATGACTCCACACAATCATAAACCTGCCAGTTGACCCTCCGGCCACATTTTCCAGTGATCAGAACAAGTGCTACTATTATCCAGACACTAAGCCGCTCAGGATATTTTTAGAATAATGCCGACTACGATACTTCCCACTTGGCCACACATCCTGTTTGCAGTCTTGGAACCGCTTTCTGGGTAAGTGAGAGCTGCCAGGCCGCCAACCCTAGTGAAATCCTATACATACAAGCCCTATATCCAGCGAACTCATCCATATCTAGCATCGGAGGCTGGGTCGTCCCATTCAACGATGGTCTGACCCGCTTTATCCTGGAGCAAGTACCCAGCGTCGCGCCCCCGGAGACCATCCACCCCAGTTCCGTCGCGCTGGCCGGCCAGCTGGTCAACCTGTACGGGCTGCTCGCCGTCCTCTGCGTCGGCATCGTCTACTCCACCAACGAGCCGAAGGTGCTGCGCAACTATCTCGCGTGTCTGTGTTTCTCGGACGTCGGCCATATATATGCGAACTATGTGGCCATGGGACCCGAGGCTTTCCTCAACGTGCAGGGCTGGAATGCCCTCGGGTGGGGTAATATTGCGGTCACGGCGTTTCTGTTTGTGAACCGTGTCTTGTATCTGCTGGGTGTGTTTGGGTATGCACAGGCTCCGAAGGCATCGTTAAAGCAGATGTAAGGAGCTCGATTGATGGACCTGATCTCATAATATGCTCGCTCATTTGGTTGGGGGACGCGGCGTTCTGTTGAAGACCGCGCGGCTTGTACCGTATCAGATCTCGCCCTTCTGGCATTCATTTTGAGTCGCTGCTTGTTAGTATCGAGACGACATTATTGCACGTAGGAAGCAGACGGCAAGATATCATAAAAGTACAAGTTCAAAGAGGGTATGGGGGGTATGATAAGCGACTTTTGCTGAAACGCGCTCCCGAAAGCAAGCCATGCAAGGGTCCAAATAGAGGTAAATGAAAAGAACAATAAAAGGGAGAGAAAAAAATAAAAAAATAAAAAAAAAAGAAGAGAAAAGAAATGATGTCTCAGAATGGCAAGACCAAGCTAGATCTCTGTAACCGCAAATCCAGCGCCAATTTATTATTCCATGTCACATTAATCATCGTGTGTCCCAATGCTGTTCGTCTGGCTGATACGAGCCTCGCACTAGATTGCAGATTCTATCTTGAACAGAAGATTAAAAAAAAAAAAAAGTCAAAGAAGAAAGACACAAAGAGAAAGGAAAAGAAAAATAAAACAAAATAGACCAGAAAAAAATAAAAATAAAAGCAAAATCCAGCACTCCTGTGCCATATCACCTCTCAGTCCATGATTGGTTGCATTTGCTGGAACAGCTGTCGTAACGGCGGCTGACCGCCTTGTTGGCACTCTCTGATGTGCGGGAATAGGAATGGAATCCCGGGCGATGCCTGATAGAGCTGTCTGTATGTGGCAAAATTGTCCGTGGGGTCTAGAAGCTCCAACAGGCTGGGTGGAGTCACTGATTTCAGGGCCACGGTGTCGGCGCCGTTAGCTGCAGTGGCCATGGTCGACTCCGTCAGGCTGTACTTCCGAAGACCATCGAGGATTGCGGTCAGGGAGTGGAAGTTCCGAATGGCAAAAAGTGCCTGGATTAGGTTAGGAAGGACATGATCTTGGGCCTGACGCTATTCGTCAAACTAGGGGTCTGAGTCTCACCTGTAGACATTCTTGAATGTAGGCAATGTTCTCTGGGAGACCCGTGCAGCACTCCCAGACATCGATGCTCTGCATTTCCCATCTTTTCATCAGATTGTTGGCCGTCGCATCCTGGGTCATGAAGCTTTGTGGAGTCAGGGTCGCAAATTGTTCCTCGTCAGCACTCGTCAGTGTGCGCGCAAAATCAACTGGAGAGGTAGCATCCAATAGATCCTCCAGAAACGAGAAAGCCACGTTGAAGGGCCGGGTCCAGTCCATCTCACGCGCATGGACGTAGGTTCGTTGGAACCGCACACCTAACACGGACAACACCTTGAGGATGTTCGTTAGGCTGGGTGGAAGGTCGCGGAATATGCGTTGAATGGGTGCTGCGATGAATTCAAAACCCAGGCCGGCACTGGTCTCTATCGATGCACATTGCCCTGGGTTCACGGTGCGCAGACAATGAGCCAGAGCACGATGGGCGAATGGACTCCGACTCCGAAGGTGCTGAAGAAGAGCCGTGTCAGTTGGGTACTCGGGGTAGCAAATATCCAATATAGCTCGTTACATACCGTTTCAACTTCGACATACCGAGCTATCTCGTCGGGAAACGCACTGAGATAGTCTAGCAGATGGACATACAATGCCGTATGCTGTTGGAGAAACCACTCGACGGAAGCTACCTTGTACCCCAAGGCATACCGGACGAGCTCTTCAAACGAAATGCGTGTAAAGTGCAGAAAACTTTCCGTGTCAATACCTCTAGCAATAGCTTCAGGGTCAGACTCGTTAGCCTTCTGGCCCGGAAACCAGCTCCAGGCAGCCGGCGGAGGGCTACTGATCCGGCAGCGCCGCATGATCTCCTCAACCTTCTGGACTTGCGACAAGTTCGGAATGAAGTTCCTCTCGTGAGGCTGTACCAGGCCACTAAGGAAGTCATCGACGGTGTTCCCGTGGCGATTCTGCAGGGCCTTTCGCGGGAAGTTCTCATCGGGAAAGAGACTGTAGCGGATCACTCGCTTGACTTTCTCCACGTCGAAGGCCCAGAGGATCGTGGCCGCTTCGTCCTCCCACCAGAGATAGGAGATGTAGAAGGGTGGGACCTCTGCGCTGGACTGGAACAGAGACGGGTATTCCGACTGCCCGGGCAGTGGACCAGCCGAGGGGCCCCCGGACTGATGAGGTGAATATCCAGACATATCCGTAGGCTCAGAAAAATAGTACGAGATCCTCTCTGGATAGAGACCAGGATCCTCGGCAGAGTATTCGACCGGGGCTAGTACTTCTTGATATGGGCTGTAGGAATGCATCTTAGCAAACGAACAATGAGATCACGGGAGCGTCCGGACAAGCCAGCAGAGAAGACGCCCGTACCTCTTGATCAACCGTTTTTAATTCTTTGTTGTTCTCACGTCCAGGTGCCACAAGGACGTGGATAATCCCCGAAACAAGGCGCTGTTTTCCGCCACCAGCGAGGAACCTGAAGAATGGGGTTATACCAAACAGCACCCAAGTATGCCCGACGAGTGAACACAACGCTAGTTCCAGGTAGTGCACGGATAATGATCAAAGACGAGGAAAAGAGGCCGTTAGAAATAAGACACTACAGCGATATTGATGAGGGTTAAAAGAGTAGACGAAGAATGGGTAAGGGCCGCCACTGCCACTCGAGATCCGTTTCAAGGATAATGATATAATAATTAATAATAAGAAGTGAACGGAGAAACGACCGAAAGATTAAACGAAAGAAAGAAGCAAAAGGAATTACAAAAGCATAGAGTGAAGACAAAGGAAGAGGGGGAGGTGTGGATAGACGTTGGAATGTTAAAGCCGTGGGAGCACGAGGCGGATAGCTCGTTTTATTGATCCTGCGAAATTCCTTTTTTTGTTTAAATAATATTAATAAATAAATAAATGTTGAATCAACTAAAATACAATAAAATTTGAGCAAAACAGAGAAATAAAAATAAAACAAAATGAATAAGAATAAAGAAATAAATCCTGATTCTTTCTTGCCGTCCATTTTCAGTATTAGGCCTAACTTGTATTTTTTTTTTCTTTTAGTATTTTATCATTTTCCTCTCCCATTTCTACCAGCTGATCCTCTCGGCCCTTTTCTTTTGCCACGTTAGACAGCTCACGCAAGGTCCTCAACGGATCCGAACCCAGTGTCCATGATTCCTGGTCATCACAGCTGAAAAGCTACCGGACATGAGAGCAAGTGGCGCGTGGCAGAAGAGAAGAAGGCAAAAGGCAAGGCAAGGCCGGAGAAAAAAGGGGGCTGATCCTGTCCCAAACCACTGGATCCCGGGAACCGGGTTCGCTGTGGAGGGAAGAAAACCAGGGAGATCAGCTAGATAGGGAGAAGCTGGAAAAAAAAAGTGGAAAGTGGAAAAGGTCGAAGCAAAGAAGAAGAAAAAAAGATCATAAGGCGCAGGACACCAGGGAGATGTGGGCCAGGTCGATCAATCAATGCGCCAATCCGTCAATCCGTTCACCCGTCAAACCGTCAATCAATTCGCCCGCCCACCATCCAATCAATCGGCCATTGGAAAGATGTGAGGCGTCCCTGGGGTCAGTCATTGGAAAGGAGAGCCAGAGAGACGGACAGGAGACAGAGAAAGGAAGAGAGGGAGGGAGCGAGAGAAGAGAGGGAGAGGGGGAAAGAGGACGAGACCGTGTGGGGACGGGTGGAGCCCTGAGCGAAGGGAACGGTGGAAAGAATGAATGGTCTGGAAGAAGTTCAATTCCCCCACATGGGAGGCGTTAATCGTGGACCATCGACCAGCAAGAATCGTAATAATTGTCTCCAGCAGAAGCATCGGGCCGGTTCGCAACGGAGAGAACTAGCAAGCATGAGGGTCTAGGGAGCGGCAACCGTTCCAACAAGTGGGATGAGAAAGGAGAAGCGGTCAGAGGAGGGCCGGATGGAAACGGTGCGATGTATCGATCGAACCGTCCTCCAATGCTTGATTTCTAGAATGTTGATCCGGTCCCAATCCTGACTGGGTGCTTGACATATCGAACTAGCATGGTTTTCTTGGTTCTGTTGCATTGTAGTAGCGGTGTACGGGGGGGGAAGAGAAGTACGGAGTACTTGGGGAGATCAAAGAACCAAGTCGGTATGGTAGGGAGTCGGGTTTGAGGGGAATCCTCAACCACTGCACAAATCATTCTGACGATAGATGATGACAATACTGACTGACCCTGCCAATTACTTCAGTAGCAGAAGCGGCATCATTATGCCGTGGATAGTGGTGGGGGGGAATCCACAGTGAAACCGGGGCTTGCCACCATCTCCGCTCCATAGGTCGAATATTGTAGTGTTGGAGACACCCTTGCTACAGCTGCCGCTGGGTGAGTCGTTCCTCCGGTCGTCATGAATCACGGACATGGATCATGAATTGATTGGTTTATCAGGGAGATTCAAATAATAATGAGATAGCAATGATGATAATAATCAAGGACAAAGAACCAAAGACAAAGATAGTGCAAAAGATGGATGTGGAAACAGGACAAGGAACTAGTTGCCGCCGGTGCTCGGGAATCAGAGAGACAACCATGGTTCCGGCTGCGGCATCTCCGTCTTTCCGCACTCTATCTATTCATGGGTTTTTTGTTGATCCTTTACATACATATCTACATTTACATTTTATCAATAAATCCCTAATATATATACACTGATCTTGAGATATATCAAATCTATGCTAGAATTATACCAGCCAACAACTTGAACAAGATGGGAATATACCTGATACGGAGTCCCGGTTGGAGTCCCACGAACCGGGAACCAGCAGACCATTTACAAAATGGAAGGATGACTAGCTCGTGGCCGTTGGCGGCTGGCAGCTGCCCAAATCACCCGATCATAGCCATGCTGTGATCGTCCGTTGGGTTGGTTCATTGGCTCTGTCAGGTCCGATCGACCGCTGGATCGATGCGGTCGAAGGATTGATCTAATCGAAAAGGGGCAACATGAGAGTCGGAGGGTATCAATGGAGAAACTATTCTAGAAGGAACGTCATCCAAAACACTGACTGCCGTCATCGTACACGGAGTTGTTAATGTGGCGCAGGGGGGGGAATCAATCAGGACACCCGTTTTATCTTAATATTTGCCTGTATGTATATTTCTAGGGTTAGGGCCCAATGGGGTTCCCGTCCGAAACAGAAAAATATCAAGAGGCAAAAACTAGCACAACTTGAAACAAAAGAGGATAATAATAATGACAAGATTAATAAATAAATAACAAATAAATTATTGAATAAATCAATCAAAGAAAAAAAGAGAAGAGAAAAGAATAGGAAGAAAAATCTTGACTTTGCAGATAGTCCCACCCTATCAACCCCGAACTCGCCAGTTTGGGTGGAGCTCTATAGCTGCATGAAGACAGCAAGTGTGATGGCAACTTTTTGCCCTGCACCACTCCGTCAACATCTCCCAGGCCAAGATAGCGAGTGGCGTAGTAATTACTTAGCTCGTCAAAATTCCCGACCTCGATCTTGCAAGCGCCAAGTCTCAAGCCGAGCAGGGAGACGGACCCACCTACTTACTTCGTTTCATGCTGGGGACGAGGATTGGAGGAACGGCGAGACGGGAATAAAAGATGCTTGTCGACGGTGTGACGATTGACCCTCGCTCTATTGTGAGGACGATCTTTCCAGGGAAGATAGATGGCGTTGAATGCTTTAGCCACTATGATCCTTTCATGCAGGGAAGGGGTCTGCCATTCAAGGATTGGCTGTTTATTCCATTTTCTTCTTTCATTTTCTGTCCTATGATCCCTTTTTTTTGTTCGCTGAGAGCCGGCATTAGGCGAGCATCATTATAGATACTAGAGCTCGACGCCATGCCAATAAAGGAGGCAGGGCGAGAAAACATGGGGGCTGAAGGGCATGGTACATACTGGGCATACAGTGGGGATAACGGTGTCACTGCCTGCTTGCTTTTTTCTGCACGCCCGGCAGAATACAGTACGTACATGCATACTGGGGCATGTCACGACAGCAGAGATGATGTAGACCGTCTCGATTGGGCAGAGGATACTCCGGACCCTGGTCTGGCCTGCCGGAGACGTGTCCTATTATGTGATGGTGATTATCGCATGTCCCCTTGTCCACAACTCATTTGTCTATGGTACTCCCCGGGTTAGGGTAGATGGGCTGAATATGCTTGCTACTGATACCTGCGTCTTGCAGAATATGGAGAATGGCGAGGCAGGGAGGGACACACATAAAAATAGAACGTATATCGTCTGTCCCAATGAAAAAGGCGTATCGCGCTCTGGGGGTACAAGGGACCGTCACTATAAATGCAAGATGACCTTCTTTGCGCGGGTTAGCTCTCGTCCGGATGGCAGCATCGATACTCGTTGATGACACATCATTGACAGCAATCGTCAACATTCCATGCATCTTGATCCCTTCACCCGGAGCATCATGGTTAAAGATTTTGTTCCACGTCAGGAACAGGAATAGCTCTCACCGTCACCACCACCACTACAGACATAATACACACCCTTCGAATCATGCCCTACCTGTCCAAATGCATGAAATCCCATCGAGAATCTCCCACATCATACCCTGATCCAGTCTGACATGGCTAACAAGATCAACCACTAACAAGCACAAACAACACAGCGCATCCAGCCCGTTACGGCAATCGCAAGACTGACGGCATATTGATCGATCATTCTGCTCTTCTCAATTCCCGATCTGTCTACCAACCTACTCACTGAATAGGAAGTAGGTATGGTCTTGCATTTCAGATCTGACCTCACAGCCTCGGTCTCCCGCCGGCTAAATCTATGTATGTCTCAAATCACAAGTTTACAACAAGGCACGAGAATGCCCGAGATCGCCCACGACAGACGTGACTTGTCATTCCAACAGTTATGCACCCGGCCAGAATATTCACTTTTACTTGCTTTTATTGATAATTTTTTCATCCACTGTCTTGCTCTCTCTTTCTTTCTTTCCTTCTTTCTCTCCCCCATCCCCTCCTCCCCTCTGCCTTTCTATCTATCTACCTTTCCTGACCCAACATCACACCATTACCAAATCCCTAAACTAAGCTGCACACCATACATAGCCCGTCTCCACGCGGCCGGTTAGTCCCAAGACAACCAGCCAGTCAGCCAGTCAGTCAGTGAATCGGCCGACAATCGGTTGCAGAAGAAACGCGCTACCACCGCCTAACTAACTGATTTAGGAGAGAGATCTCGATGAACAACACTAGGGGGTTGATTGGTTGACAGGTACGGAGTTACCGAGTAAGTATGTAGTACTACTAACTCGCCACGACACTATATGGAGACCCAGACCCATGAGCACGGAGAGATAGATTGGATTGAGGGGCTGGTTGGGTTGGGTTGATATTGGTATTAGTGGGGTCTTTTCTCTTTCTTTCTTTCATTCTTTCTCGCCCCCCCTCTCTCTCACACACACTTTCTCTCACAGAGAATGTGTGTATGTGTATGCGTGTGGTCAAAGATTCATTCACCATCCCTATCTAGGAAAAGAAAAGAAAGGAGAAAAGGAATGACCTGATATGCAGTGCACAGCCGCGCCGACAGCGCAAGCACCGCGGTAAGTACCTAGGTACCTAGGTACCTACCTAGTAACGGTTCAAATAATGGGGGCCAAGCGGGAAGGAAGGGAAGATCGCATGTAGAACCTGCAGCCAGAGAAAAATCGACGTGTTACACTCCTACTTGCAGGATTCGACTTTCCTTATTTCCGGCGTGTCTATCTAGAAGGGGACATACAGACATAAGGTACACACCCTGGCAGGGGAGACATGACCCCGAAGAAAGAGGGAGGTATAGATAGATAGATAGATTGAGGGGTGGGTAAGAAGATCGAAGGAGGGGGGTAAGAGAGGGAGAGAGTGGGGGATGACATGATGATTTTTGAACGTGTCATTCGCACTTTGCTTTACTTTGCTTTATCCTCGGCGGTATTCTGTCCCCATCCCCTCCTTTATATTTTCTTTTTTTTCTTGACTTTCATCATTGTATACACATCAACTTGCTAAATGGGGCCGGACCCCCGGGACTAAGTAATTAACTGATTGATTGATTGACTGACGCCCAGGGTGGATAGATGAATGGGACTAGACTAGCGCGGCGACCAATGTCAAGGATAGTATACGGCATCTGCATGGGTCTTACCTACTTACTTACCTAGGCAGGTAGGGTCCTAGGGCCTAAATTAGTGAGGGGTAACAATTTGCTAAGGGAATGAGGGATTGCTCAGTGTCAGGGAGCGAAGCGGCTATATGGTGTCTGAGCGCGAGGGCGCGCGTTGCGTTTTCTCTATCGGATTCGGGTTGGGGTCACCGTGATCTGGTGATCTGCGGAGGGATTGCTTTTGGGGTAGATTTGGGGTTTAGCGTTAGGTGGGCAGATTGAGTGGTTTAGATGGCTGTGGTATGGGAATGATGGGTGTGGTGATAGTGATATCAGGTTTATCCGCTACGAGAAGGTCGAGTGGCATAAGGAAAAAGTATAGCATGGGTATCAAATGTCCAATGAAGAGAGACGCTGGGTCTGTTGCTTGCTATCCTGGTCCTACGAACAGTGAATGCAAACCATAAGGTCTGCCATGTTCAATGTAACACGTTTCTTGGTTTACTAGATAACGCATCGTAAAACGTTCATACCGGTATCATACGAGCCCACAAAGCAAGGCAAGACGGCGTCTCCACCCCAGCGGACTTGGTTTTTTGTTCGAAGCTTGATTTTTCTTGTCACCAGCACCTACCTAGCGCTTAGTTGGCGATGGCGTGGGCACGGCGGCGGTCACGCTCCTCAGCAATGGAGAGCTAGAATATGTTAGCCTCAATTCCTGGGCTTGAGAGGTATATTGGAAGAAGTTGCATACCTTGACACCCTTGCCCTTGGGGAGAGAGATCCAGGGACGCTCCTGGCCGATGACGAACACGTTGGACTCGCGGGTAGCGAAGGTGTTGTCAATGGCATCCTTGACGTGGACGATGTTGAAACCACCATCGTGACGCTCACGGTGGGTGACAACACCAACACGACCCATGTTACGACCACCAGTGACCATGCAGACAACGCCGGTATCGAAGTGAACGAAGTCGGAGATCTTGCCAGTGGCGAGCTCAACCTTCACGGTGTCGTTGACCTTGATGGCGGGGTCGGGGTAGCGGATGCTATAAGAAACCTTGTTAGCTTGCAATGTTCCAAATCGGAGACCTTACTGTCTCCAGCAACGGGGGGAAAGTTCATTCGTCCTCCGCCGATCAACCAAAGCTTGGTCCAACGACTGAATGACACGGAACTTGTGGAGAGCATTGAACTCACGTTCTCGCATCGTGCGTAACCAAGAATGGGATCCCGCCCTTGCCGAGCTGCACACGCTTGACCTTGCAGAGCTTGTACTCAGCCTCCTCGGCCTGGATGCGGTGCACGGTGAAGCGGCCCTTGGTGTCGTAGATGAGACGGAAGTTCTCGCCGGTCTTCTCGAGACCGATGACATCCATGAAGCCAGCGGGGAAGGTGACGTCGGTGCGGACCTTGCCGTCAACCTTGACCAGACGCTGCATCATGATGGACTTGACCTCGCGGCCGTTGAGAGCGTACTTCAGACTGTAAACCAAAACCCGTCAGTAATCCAACCCTTTGAGATCTGCCGAGTCGTTGGAGTCGTACCGGTTGCGAATGAAGACGATCAGGGGCAGGCAGTCCCGGAGCTTGTGAGGACCGGGAGAGGCCTTGGGGGCATAGGTCCCGGACATCTTGTCCAGGAGCCAGTGCGAGGGCGCGCTAAGGCGCTTCTGGTGCTTCTTACTGTACAGAACATTCTTGTTAGTTGCGTTGCTTCTTCACAAAATCCACGACATCCATGACATCGTTTCAAGGTCGTCCCAATTGCGCCCTGCGACCAACTCCATCAAATGAATTCTCTGGAGAATACCACAGAGCGCACCGAAATCAACCCCTGCTGTATATGGGAATATTACTCACGGTCCGCGAGGCATCTTGGCTGCTTTGTCGACTTGAACCCGGTTAGTTGTCGAAGTGTCGCGAAGGAAGAAAAGCTGTCGACGGCCGAAGGCTTTAGACCACTTACCGCTCCACTGCGAATTTTGCTTAGCGAAGAGTGCTAGTGGGGTGAGCCCTAACGCTAGTACTGTTTTAGCGCCGCCCTATTACCTGCATTGGGTTAGCGTGTGACCCAACTGGTTAGTCTTCAATGCTTATGTAAAGGTCACATGACTCGATATCTAATCGACTCTGTAGGAATGGCGTTGGGTTCGATTGGACAAGATAGGTATAGATGTCTATGTATCTGCAGGCTAATTTCTAATGTAATTTTTATCGCTTCAACGGCATACGCTGTACAGAATCAGATGTAGCCCTTGATGACAGCAACCTCAGCGTTGAGGATAGACGACCCGGCCGCTCCGATGACGGTGTTGTGCGAAAGCGCAGCGAACCTAAGGTCGAAAAAGCCGCCTTGAACGCCTTCACGCACGCGACCGACGCTGACGGTGTAGCCGTGCGAGATGTCGCGGTCCAGTCGCGGCTGGGGACGGTCAGGCTCATCGAATACCTTGATGGCCTGCTGCGGTGCCGAAGGGGCACCCAGCTTCTGTGCTTCAGACTGATACTCCCTCATGGCCTCGACCACTTGCTCCGCGCTGGGGCCGGGGCGGTTCTTGAACCGCAGCGACACAAACGCCATGTGGCCATCTGTGACGCCTACCCGGGTGCATGTGGCGCCGATTCTGAGACCGGACTGTTCCTCAAAGGCAGTAGCTTCTGCGTTCAGAGAGCCCAAGATCTTCTGAGCCTCGTTCTCCATCTTGTCCTCCTCGCCGCTGATGTAGGGGATGACGTTGTCCAGGATGTCCATGCTAGGAACACCGGGGTATCCACCTCCCGACAACGCCTGCTCAGTGAAAACCTCCACTTCCTCGACGGGCCCGAACTTGGCCTGGAGAGCCGCGAACGGAATAACCACGCCAATCACGGCACAGTTGGAGTTGCAAACCAAGAACCCCTTCTTGAGGCCGAAGTGCTTTCTTTGGTGGGGAATCAAGTCCAGATGTTGGGGGTTGACGGTGGGGACGACCAGAGGGACGGTGGGGTGCTTGCGGTAGTTCTTAGCGTTCGAGAAGACAGGGATATCGGCCTTGATGAATTCCATTTCTAAAATGCGCATATTAGTCCTAGCCCATTCGTGCTCTAGTGAGCCACAACGTACCAGTTTCACCCGCAATATCGCTGTTAAGTCCAGAGAAGACAAGATCGCAGTCGGCAAACTGCTCAGCCCTGCAGTCCCGCAGAACAAGGTTGCTCAGTCGCTCCGACATGGCCGTGCTCTGCTTCCACTTCACGGCATCTTTGTAGGCCTTTCCGGCGGAGCGGCTCGAGGCACCGACGGCTTGGAGCTCCAGGAACGGGTGGTCGGCGAGCAAGAGGATGAATCGTTGGCCCACCGATCCGGTGGCACCAAGGATACCTGTTCAAATCAGCCTGATTCCAGTGTGTTGGTCTGGAGTGTCCCGTACCGCACTTCTTCTTGGGGTAGGAGGTCATTATGTCGGTAATATGAATTCGGGCTAACCGGGCATATAAATTAACAGTCTGGTCTCAATCTTCGCGTGGATTAAATAATAAGTATAGCGACATGTCTCCATTCCCGAGTATCGAGCCGGACTCAATTGCAGAACTGCTTGAGAGTACCATAGACGGATTCCATGCCCCGCAAATGCGACAAGAATCGATACTCGAAGTCATTGGGGGCAGACATGCCGATCTTCCGCGCATAGGCTCAAATACAAACATGCACTCTCAAGAGGAGAAAAGTAGCACCTACCAGTTTAATTGGTGATAGTCCAGAGAGATCTCAGGTGGCAACGAGAACCGTCAAGACGGGAACTGCGATGTCGCTTTGGCGGGCAGTTCGTTGCCCCGCCATGAGTCATCCTCCTATTACTAACTCACCGGGTTCCTGTCCTATATCGGCTGTGGGTCTTATTGAACTTGATCTACATAACGGAGAAGACAATTTGATATGTTCAAGTAGTATGGCGATGTCTATAGTCTATCATAAATGCATGGAAGCATACAATTCTCCCAGCAGCCGGCCTTTACAGAGTGCACTTTTTAGCAGCCTTGCAAAGCGGGATATATACAGGATGGATTCTATCAGATAATAACTTATTGTTCCGGTTCACTTTCATGGTCAAAGATCTTGCCAGGGTTCAGCAACCAGTTAGGGTCGAGGGACCTCTTGATGCTCCGCATCACATCAATTGTACACGGGCCGAGTTCTTTGCGGAGAGAGCCCTTCTTACCCAACCCGACGCCATGCTCGCCCTAGATAAAGTTAGCCACAATGCGCCAGACAACTGGATTTCGGGATGACTTACAGTGCACGAGCCTTCCATTTCGAGAGCGCGGTCAACCATATCGTGGACGACCTTCTCGACACGCTCCCGCTCTACCGGGTCATTCCGATCGTACATGATACTCGAATGGAAGTTTCCGTCGCCGATATGTCCGAGGATGCTAGCGAACAACCCCAGATCGTCAAGCTCCTTCTTCGAGATGTCTAAATCTATTAGCGAAGCCCGGAAGAAAGGTAAAAAGCTACGTACCGATGATTTCTGGCAGCCTGGAGACCGGCACAGCGACATCAGTCGACCAGATCTCGGAACCCTCTTTTCTCAGCGCCATCATGCTCCATAACGACTGTTTCCGCGCGGACCATAGGTCGTGTGCCTCTCGCTCAGTTTTGGCAAACTCAAAGGTATCGGCTTTATTCCCTTGGGCGAGTTTGGTGGTCAAATCGATGCTATCGGCAACCCCAGCGGTCGTTCCCGAGAACTTGAAGAACAGAGTGGGCTGCTTCTTCCACGCCCGCCCCGTGCCTCCGGCGCGGTTGATCACGTCCATTTGGACATCGTCTAGGATTTCCATGCACTGAACGGGGATGCCCTTTTTGATCAACTGCATAGCAGTAGACGCGGCATCGTGCATCGTCAGGAAAGACACTACCCCGACTCGAGTTTGTTCCGGGACCGGCGCCAGCTTGAGTGTGGCCTCGGTGACAATCCCCAGGGTTCCCTCCGAGCCGACGAACAGTCCCGTCAAATTGTAGCCGGCAGAGGTCTTGCGCGGACGTTTCCGGGTCTTCATGATGCGACCGTCCGCCAGAACCACAGTCAGGTTGATCACCCAGTCCTTCATGGTGCCGTATCGCACCGCGTTCGTTCCGCTGCAGTTCGTGCCGATCATACCACCAATCATAGCCGACGGACCCGGATCAACGGGGAAGAACAGACCGCTATCCTTGATCTTCTCGTTCAAGTCCATCCACTGAATGGAAGGCTGCACGACGATATCCAAGTCATCCTCATGCAGCTCCAAGATCTTATTCATGTCTGCGAAATCGATTGTCATCCCCCCGTAGGGAGCAGAGAAGTTGGCTTCGAGACTGGAACCCCCGGAGTAAGGAACCATGGGCATCTTGTATTTGTGGCAGATTTTGGCAATCTCGGAGACTTCTTCCGTGGACTTGGGATAGGCAATGGCGACGGGGAGGCGCTTCGCGTTGACACTGGACCATTCGGAAAAGCCATGCAGTTGGAGGTCATCCTCGTCTGTGCTGACCACGTCTTCGCCTAGCTTGGACCTGACTTCTGCGATCGCCTACTCTCATAGCGGTTAAAAACATGCATTGGATGTGAAGTAGCAGTAACGGGGGGCCCTCACCTTTTCGAAATCCGCCACTGACCCATACTGGGGTGGATTGGACGCTTGCGACGGGGTTGACCGCGTGGTGGTCGCTAAGGTGTAACCAACTCCTGCGGCCAAAGCGGAGACAAGAGCCACCCGACCTGCCGACCAAGAGCTCGATGTTGACCCCGATTTCGAGCCATCTTTGTGCGCGCCGTCTCCATTACTTGTCGTGCTATTCCAACGAGCGACTCTCGCCGACGAGGAGAAAATCTGAGGGAGGTTGGACCGCCGGGAACTGATCGCGCGGGGGCATGCGGGGAGGCCCCGAGAGAGTGCAAGAACAGGTCGCATGACTCTTGCAGCACAAGAACAAGGGAGAGATAGGTAGTATAGAGGTGTACTATCCGACAGCAATGCGATGATGGTTGGTCTCCTTTATGGTATGCTCCCGACCATGATGTAACTGGGAATCTCCTAGCTTCACGTCACCCCTTGAAAGACCACGCCATTCGGAGCAATAATTGTGAGAGAGGCGAATCGAAGCCAGTGGGTAATTATTCGGCCGAGAGTGTTCTTGATAAGAAGAGGGGAAGAAGGAATTTCGGAGTAACGACAAGTCCTCCGACCCCACCCCAATTAATCCCGAATTTACCGAGCTTTCTATATCCACCCGATCGGTTCAAGTCCGACTATCCGTACGGGAGGCGGAATATTTCCATGTATCGCTGCTATTTACGATTATTATTGTTCTCCTTTTATTTATTGTCCTGTCTTTTTATTTATTGTCCTGTCTTTTCATTTCTTTGTAATGGATCTATTGATTTCTCTTTTTCTTCCTTGTATTTGGAAAGAATGGATCTGTTAAGTCCCATTGTTGAGTGCTCTTGGAGAACAAGCTGGCCAGTTTGCAGGTAGAGTCCTGGTATACAGATCTCGGCTAGCGACGTGGTCGAGAATTCGCGCATGGAGCAAACATTCAGTGGAGGACTGGATCCCAGGCAGGGGCCTCTTAGCACTAAAGACACCCTAACTTTATCTTAAAAGCACCCGAGGGGGGTGGGATGCTGGGTGCGATTGGCTGTGGTTCTGGCTGGTGGGTCAGGGACCTTTCATCGCTTTGACGTTCTCCATAGTTAGACCCTGATTTCGGAGTTTGGGTGAATTGTCCGGTTGGTAGAGATGAGTGGTTTTACTGCCAGAAATCAGCAATAATGTCTCACTGATTTTTTGAGGTATGCTAGATTTTCTCCCACTATCATTAGGAGAAAGGTACACTGTCTAGCTAACTAGTTGCTCACAGCAAATTCGTGGGTAGAGATAGCGCCAATGCGCTACAGGTTCCTAACAGATGCTGTTTATAGTATCAAGAGATGCCATTTGAGACACCCTGGATGAAAATCTGTATAGAAGAAGAATGTATAGCGTGTACCATGTGTCAAGTGTAGTGGATGGAAATTCATATGATATACAAGTAGTTGAAGCCTCCCCAAGTCACGAGCCAAGACAGATTGTTGCGGGGGCAACGGACCGGCCCGAAAATAATCATCATTCTTCCCACCTCCAACGAAGCTCGTGCCACCACGCCGAGAGAATTCAAGACCGATCGGTCACAGATCAAGGGACTTATAGTCCGTTTTAGTTATATAATTCATGAAGGAGGTCCTTGAGTAGCCATGTCGGACCAATCGATTGCGTTGGGCCGCGAAGTGGAGCGCTTGATAACAGCCCCATATGCACCCTCTCTCCAGGTAACATCATGTCCCCGCTCTCGTGCCCCTCTTATGTTAGCATCGTATAGTTTGATTGATCGTCTTGTCTTAGGATCTTTATGACATTACTCAATGCTGCTCTCTGGGCGTAATCCAGTCCTGGGCCTCGCGCAAACCGTGTCAGATTGGGGCTCTGGCTGACGTCGTCGTCGACGGTCTGTCTCGGTCGAATTTTGCGGTGAGCCTGCTTGGGAGTTTCGGTAGGCTTTGCCCTTATAGGTGAAAGACTTGCTCTGATACTCTGCAGCGCGTGTTGAGCCCTTCCGCAATGGTTTATTGGAGCGTCATCCTCAATTATTAGACCTATTTCTGCAAAAGGCCATTGAAGATGGAGAGTTCCAGGTTGGTCATCTCAAGTCGTCTTCGCTTTCTTGATGTCATGGGAGCGGCATGGACAGAACTAAGTTATTGTCCCTGCCATAGTATATCTCCACGTCTAGTGCCATGCTATCATCGCCTGTTCCGGACAACTTCATCGTCCCAGCACGTCTGGCGCCATTCATCACCAAGCTGATCTCCTTGGTCAAAGAAGCCCCATGTGCAGAGAGCATTGGCCCTGTATACCAGCTCACTGCTTCGTTGCAAACATGTCCCCGAGCGCTATGCGAGATCCCGTCGGAGATAATGTCTAGCCTCCAATTAGAGCTCACTAGGATGTTACGCAATTTCGAGGACCATATGGGGAACCTCTTTTGTCTGGCAACCTTGGCACGTATTGCATCTTCACAAAAGGCCGGAGCGGTTGATAAAGATTTCCAGTCGACTCCCTCTTGGCTCCAGAGTATCCAGCATTTTTTTGGTCCCAAGCGAGGATTGAAAACCTTGGATCTCGTGTTCTTGCGAGTCATCCTTGCTTGCTCGGTGAGCTGCAACAACTTGACGACCGATCAAGCTGTAGAGAGCATCAAATTGGCTATCGAGATTTGTGATAATGTTGAAATAAAACAAAAAGAGGACTGGATCAAAGCCAATTCACAGAAGATTTACAAACTCTGCGAAAAGGTGGCGAGGGAAGATATTGACGATCGAGTTCAGGTTTTGGTGAGTATCAATTCAGTCAGCAGTCCTAGTTCGAAATTGTTATTGACACCACTAGGGCATTACATATCTCGTCTCCCTTATTCCAACGGCGACATTGTCCCCCGAGATACCGCGACTCGCACTCCAGTGGTTGCTCACTCAAAAAAGTGGGCGCGCTCTGGAAATTTTGCCAGCAGATACCATCCCACGCTTAGTAGGGGCAAATGCTGTAAGCGACAATTTACAAATGTTGAGGGCTGTACTGACGCATAAAAGTTTCGTTTAGGAAGCCCCGCAATATGCGGCATCCTCGAATACGTGGTCTCGTCCCTCAAAACAGAACTTGGGGATGATCCCAATTATATGGGGACTCTGCAGCTCGCGCGACTGTTGCTCTCTGGCCTACAGAAAGTAGTGCCACAACTCTCAGAAACTGCAGGGTTAGAACCGATAGTCGCATGCAGCGAAGCTATAGAGCAACTTACTCAAAGCTTTCCAAAGCAGCCGGTCCATTCTATTTGCCAGGGAGCAAGTTCCTGCTATTGCTCCGCTGCCGCGCTACAAAATGAATTACTTTGTGAGCTATTTGACCTTCACACCCAAACATCAATTCTGCAGTGCAAGAATCACAAGACATTTGATACGTCTGGGGTGATGGCTTTTGGCACTATCATGTCAAGGGCTTCTAAAATGTTTCCGGAGAACAAGTGTCTCTTCTCCACAAGAATACCACCACTCCAGCTGCAAACCAATCGTCCCACTCCGCGACTCCGCGAAGCCTCTTCTACCTTACGGCTGGACTGGAAGGCAAATCTGGCTGAGACACTCATGGAAAATGCACGCACCTCACATGACGATGTGATGCGTAAGCTTGAAGACGTTTGTTACGATCTTGAGAGCCGCTGCCAAAGCATAGAAGCTCCCTTGAGAACAATGGAAGAAGAACGCGACAGATTCTCTCTAGAAGCACAGACGACGAAGCAACAAAACAATGACCTGGAGCTCCAGCTCCAGCAGGCAACTGACACAATTGCCCGACTTGAGCAGGATAATGAACGCCTGGGGAATCATGCGGAAAGTATCACCGTGCGCGTCGAAGAACTCTCAGCAAACCTCGATGCATCTCGCATGGAACTGGAAAACCAAAAGCACACTTCCCAAGAAGACGCGGACAGGGAGCGCGAACAGTCCCGTAGCAGGGAGCTGGATCTCATGGCTTCCGTCACGGAACAGGAAGAACGCGTGGATGCGCTCCAGGAAGAAATCAGAGTCGAAAAGGAGCAGAACTGCAAATTACACCAAGAACTCGAGACTACTGAGCGCGAACGATCCGAATTTACGAGAGAGAATGAGTCGTTAAGAGAAGAAGTGGACCGACTCGCAAAGTATAATGAGGAAAAGCAAAGTCTCCTTGAAGCGAGAGACGTAGAGATCCAGCAGCTCCTTGCTGGCAAAGAAAATGTTGAGGGCCAAGTCGTTGACTTGTTGCAGAAGGTATACAGATTCTTTTTATCCCGAAATGCTCTGCGGTACTAATAAAAGGGTGTACAGTTAGATCAAGAGGTCATGAAGTCCGCCGTCCTCGAATCGACGCTTGATGAAACTCGAGAAGAATTCAGAATGGAATTGGATGCAACAAGAAAGAAACTCGAGGAAAATATTAAAACTAGTGAAACTGAGGTATTACGCTTGGTCTTGATTTTCCTGGTTGTCTCTAACATGTGTATCCAGTGTGCCAAGCGACAGGAGGGGATTGCCTCTTTGCGAGCTTCCCTGCAAGCAGCCGAAGACAGCGCCACCAAACAGCTACAAACGAAGGATAAACGAATTCAATCATTGGAAAAGAAGGTAAATATTCATCTCCATTCCACCAATCTTTTACACAGTTGTATTATGAAGCAAAGAGTATTCTGTTTTTGAGACTGACATTTGGCCAGGTGCAACACATGCGCGACGAGCGCTCAACCAAAGCACGAGAATTTTCAGAGGCACAGCAGCATATCGGGCGTCTCATGTCAGTGATGGGGTTTAAACCCGACTCAGGCCACTCCAAGCCATCCAAGATGCGGTCCAAATCAATTATCGCCCCCTCCCCAATCGCATCAGCCCAACAGCAAACGCATTCCGGAGACGAGCAGACAGAATCTCTGCTAGAAGATCCAGAGACCACGTCATTTGACTCAGTAACACCTCATCTTGTCGGCCGCAGCCCCAAAAGACCCAGAGACAGCACCTACGCTAGGGTCGAAACACCAGCCCGACTTCACGAGAAGAGGGCCAAAAATCCATCCCGGGTGGGCAGCATGCGGCCACGCTCTGAGCGAAGAGCGCTCGAAGAAGCAGACCATAACAGCCAATCCAGTTCCCAGAGCAGCCGCAGGTCAAATGCCAGTCAGCATGAAACTTTCGAAGAGAGTCAATATATGGACGAAAACCATCTCCAGGGGATAGATCTAGATATGGATTTGGAGCTCACGAAGGACTTCATTTTTACTAGCACGTCTTTGTCTCAGGCAAATGATAATGTGCCTCCGCCTGGAGCTCAGGGGTGATGTTTTCATATTTTGATTGATCAGTGATGCTGGATTTACTGCGCGTTTGTAAGTATGCCTACTTTGACTGAATAGAACGATTTAATGCAAGCAATCACTGTTCTCTCACCTATGCTTGTTTATGTGACTTAGACTTTATTCACAGTAAATGTGATATTAATCAATCACAGCCCAAGGCCTTACTTTATCATATACCTGTTATCAATCCACTGGAAAGACACAAAGAGGATTAATTGACTCCCGGAACTCACCTAGTTTAGCAAAATGGAAAAAGAACAGCCAGGACCCTGGTACTATTCATTCAATGTGTTTAGATTCAAAAGACGACAGGTAGGATTTCTATATGCCAGTTATCATATTCTCAAGAAAGTCTCACTAATGACAACTCAGAGCGCCGAGAAGTCTGTTCTTTCTAGTTTTGGAGGCTCTCACACCCCCGGGTTCACCTCTGAATTGTTATTTTCTTCGGGCTCTGACACTCTTCTGCCTCTCACCTCATCTTTACCCACGCTTGTTTCGGCTCTCTCTTTCTCTTCCCCCTCTCCCTCTCCTCCTAATCAGTTTCCATCGGCAAATATGAGGCGTCGTGTCTTAGCCAGCCCAGAGCCCTCCAAAACTTTTCCAGAACCCCAAGAACGCAAACCTCAAGCTCCACCAAAGCCCTCACCCCTACAGCTACCTTCTCAAATCCTACCGTCCTGGAGCCAGAGGGATTCTCTCGCTATCAAACTCACCAATGTCCCGAAAGAAACAAGCGCTGTGGACTTATGGGAGGCTTTCCACAAAGAAGGAAGCATCTTCACTATCGACCTCTTTGAGGATAGCCATGGGAACAGAAGGACAGATGGTAAAGTCCGCTTCAAGTCAGCTCTTGCATCCAATATTAGCCTACCGCGTACTCACACTTTCATAGACCACCTCCGGCGACAGACTTTTGGAAGACAGGAACCTACGAGATAGCCTCACCAGATGGCCAAGTTACAACTATTTCCATACGTCCGGAGTTCCATCTGGCTTTTAACAGAATAGTCGAGAGCCCAGTCGGCCGTGACGTTTCATACCCCGTCGAGGTTGTAAGTTCAAGTATCATCCCAAGGTTCTCGAAGACCATTTAATCCCTAATTTTCCAAGAAAATCCCAATCGCGTCCATGGATATCGGAGTTTTGGTGGACGAAAAGACAATGCTTCCCATGCGCACTGTTGGCTTAGGTGCTGATGAGCATCCATTCTTACTATTCGATTTGAAAGCCAGGGCCATGATGGTCTATTTTCAACTTCCAATACTCTTCAATCCCAAGAGCAAGCTCCAGGCAGGCGATAAGTATAACCAATACCGTCTGAAGATTCCTCTTGTGCAATTAACCCGGATTCTTCAGTCTGGTGACCCTGCATCGAAAATATCTCACTTGCTAGTGCTGGACTCTCCACCCTTGTATTTTCGGCGTGCTACGGATATCCCGAATACTTTCGTCGACGATAACTCATGGAGGGACTCGGACTCCTGGTATCGTCAGACCAACATTGTCCATAACCCGTTAGAGCTTGCCGGTGTCCCGACGAGCTTGCGCAAGCTGAAGCCCATGATTGATATCGGTACATAATATCCTTCTCTCTGTCCTTGCATGCGTTTTGCTCGCTCGTTGATTGACCAAGTTACACAGGCCGTTGGAATGTTCTCAGGGTAACATTTCCTAAAAGCTTTGGCCTTAATCCAAATTTTTCGCTGGTCTGCAATCTTCTCAAAGACTACAACGTGAGAATCGAAGATGTCGATAGCTTCACTGTATGGGATGGGTCTAAAGAGAGGCCACCTCCCGTTTGGGAATGGATTGACCTATCCAAGTCTTCACCTCAGACGGAAAGCTCTTCTCTCGGAGATCTTTTAGATCATACCTATGTTCACTTAGATTTTCGCGTACGGTATCAACTCGAGGTGTGTATATCCCATGGATACCTCTCGGAATTCACTATGTCTCGTGAGTTTGTGGTCAAGCTCGCGACACTTGAAGAACCAGAAGCCAGAAAGCTTCTTGAACATGTTGCGACGGAAAAGAAGGTCTACTTTGACCCCATGAAGATATTCGATTTGATATTCATCAAGGGTACAACCAACGCTAAAATACCTTCGCACTGTTGCTACATGCGCTCGGCAAGGATCACGCCCAGCACCGTCTATTTCAATACCCCCACGGTGGACATATCAAATCGAATCATTCGACGATACAGAGAACACTCTGATCGGTTCCTCCGGGTCCGGTTCACCGATGAGAAGCTACTCGGTCGAATATCTGCAAGTGTCGACAATACGAGAAACGAAATTTTCACGCGGGTCAAAAGAACTTTGGCAAATGGCATCGTGATTGGCGACATGCACTACGAGTTTCTCGCCTTTGGAAACTCTCAGTTTCGTGAGCACGGTGCCTATTTCTTCGCCGGACAGCCTGGCCTTACTGCCGCGAATATCCGAGCATGGATGGGAACGTTCAATAAGATCCGAAATGTCGCTAAACACACCGCACGGTTGGGACAATGCTTCTCAACTACCCGCGCCGTTGCTGGGTCATCTGTGACGGTTGGAAGAATTGATGATATCGTGCGCAACGGGTATACTTTCTCCGATGGCGTTGGCAGAATTTCGCGTTTCCTTGCTCAGATGACCATGTCCGAACTGAAGATCAAGACTCCGAACGGGGAGCCCCCATCCGCGTTCCAATTTCGCCTTGGTGGCAGCAAGGGGATGCTCACTGTGTCATCCCAAGCTCAGCCGCAGGAGGTTCACATACGGAAGAGTCAAGATAAATTTGAGGCAAACCACAGCGGCCTGGAGATCATCCGCTGGTCCCAATTCTCGATCGCAACTCTGAACCGCCAATTGATCATTGTTCTGTCCACCCTCGGAATACCCGATGGAGTCTTTCGTGCCAAACTCAAAGACATGCTGCAGGGTCTGGATGAAGCACAGAAGAGTGATACGCGGGCTATCTACTGGTTGAGGAGATACGTAGACCCGAACCAAATGACACTCATCGTGAGTCAGATGATCAGCGATGGCTTCAGGCGAGTCCAAGAACCCTTCTTGACTTCAATACTGACCCTCTGGAGAGCTTGGCATCTCAAGTATCTAAAAGAGAAGGCCAAGATTGTCATTGAGAAAGGTGCAAATCTCTTAGGCTGCATGGATGAGACAGGTACTCTGAAGGGCCATTTCAACAACATCCCCGGAAAGGATGCATCCGTTAAGGAACTCAAGGCAGCATTGCCGGAAATATTCGTCCAGGTTTCCAACCCAGAGAAGGAAGGAAAATACGAGATAATTGAGGGACTCTGCATCCTAGCCCGAAACCCCTCGCTTCATCCCGGCGATATCCGCGTCGTGAATGCAGTGAATGTCCCAGCTCTACAGCACCTCCAAGATGTAGTTGTCCTACCGCAGACCGGTGATCGGGATATTGCAAGTATGTGTTCCGGTGGCGATTTGGACGGCGATGACTACCTTGTAATTTGGGATCAGGATTTGGTCCCTGAAGACTGGTTTCGCGAGCCGATGACCTACACAAGCAACGCGGCCCGGGACCTCGATCACGATGTCACCGTCGATGAGATAACGTCGTTCTTCGTGACCTATATGAAGAACGACTGCCTTCCTCAGGTCGCACACGCACACCTCGCCTGGGCCGATTGGCTTCAAAATGGGGTAAACGAAGAGAAATGCATCAAGCTGGCCCAGCTGCATTCCGACGCTGTGGACTACAACAAAACAGGCAATCCAGCCATCATGACCCGTAATCTCCGACCTCGTCTCTGGCCTCATTTCATGGAAAAGAATCACCTGCCAAAGGACAAGATTTATCATTCCAGAAAGATACTTGGCCAGCTTTACGACGCGGTTGAGCGCATTGACTTCGTCCCCAGTCTCGAGATGTCCTTCGACGAGCGGATCCTCAAATGCGGAGTCCACGTCACCGCAGATATCTACCAGTTTGCGAAGGATCTCAAAGTCTCTTACGACGAAGCTATTCGCCGCATCATGGCGCAGCACGAGATCAAGACCGAGTTCGAAGTCTGGTCCACGTTCGTCCTCAGCCACGCAAACATGAGCAAGGACTACAAGTTCCACGAGGAGCTAGGCGCCCTATCGTCCGCTCTTCGCGAGGGTTTCAAATCCAAATGCTATGAAAAAGTCGGCGGACGTGAATTCAAGCAGCTCGCCCCGCTCGTTGTCGCTATGTATCGCCTCACTCACGAGGAAATGTCCGCCGCTTTGGACAAACATCGCCGCGAGAACCCGCCTGAAAGGTTTTTCCACAGACGCTCACCTTCCATAGAAACGCTTCCTCTCATCAGCTTTCCATGGATCTTTCCGCACGTTCTAGGCAAAATAGCAATGCGCCACTACGACGAATCACCCCCTCTCCCATCGCAAACAGACGAGGGGCTTCTCGTCGATACAACCCTTGATCTCCGTCTCCGCCATTCTAGCGATGACCTTGTCACCCAGTCGCCGCCGCCACTCGGTTCTCAGAGCTTGGTCCTTGTTCATAACAATCAGCCGGCGACTACTTTACCCCCGAGTCTACTAGTGAACGACCTCGTCCCGGGCCCCATGCTACCCGGTCTACGCCGGGGCACACGTCTCATCCGGACGTTCGCCACGGGTGTCGAATCCCTAGAAAACCTCCTCGATTTCGGCCTTTCCGAAGGGTGCTACGGCTCATCTTCCGAATCTGCTACTACTCCCAGCAACGACGAAGAGCGTGCGGGAAACGGGGGCCTTCTGCTTGAGTGGGACAGCAATGCTAACGCCGAGGATGTCAGCCCATCTATTGATAACGCAGTCATTTCAAATTCGGTTTCAAAAATGGCAGACGGCAAGGACGGCGCGGTCTTGGACATCGTGGAAGAAAATATCGTTGAGGACGATGGTCTGAACTTTTCGGCGCTTGATAGGCTTAGCCGATTGCTTGAGACCTAATCTTTCTTCTCTTTGCGTCTATTTCTTTTGTTTTCTGTGACCAAGGATTCAACGTATCAAGCGGGTGGGTATGCGCTGTCTCTTGTGGTGTTCTGAGGGGGACTCATTCATGGTGTCACTTTGGCGACCAGGGACAATTTTCTGCTGTTTTACTTTGATGCCTATAAGCTAGGGACGTTTCTCATAGGGGTAATGAGATAAATCAAACAGACAGATCAAGCAAGAGAGGTTTATATCAACAATTAATTCAAAAATTCAATGTCTAGACCAAGGCAAGCCCTACAGACAGTATAGAGGGGTATAGTAGTAGTTCGCCCCTGCGCCAGGACCCCACAAAGCAACGCCATTAATCTTCTTCCAAAATCTCCTTGAAAATAATCATAACCTCAAAACAAACTCACCATTCCAAACCACTTTCACGATTCTCCAACAACCCCATAACAGGCCCCAACACAGCCCTCGTATGTCTCCAATTCGCCGAATGTCTCGTCCGAGAATAAAACACGGGACAATCCTTGCTATCGCACTTAACGTCATCGCCGAACGGGACGCCCATGCAAGAGCGACACACGCGGTGGAGGTCCGACACCCTCTTTTCAGCCTGCTTCTGGCGAGTAGTCAGGTCGAGCAGCGCGACGTGGGGCTGGCTCATGCAGGCGGCGCAGACGGGAGCGTCCGTGTTGTCGAGTTTGGATTTGCAGACTACGCACGAGGAGGATTTCATGTATGATTCGAGGGTTTTGCGGGAGTCCTTTCCTGAGGAGGTTGAAGTAGTGCCTTCGACGCGGCGGATGCGTTGCACTTTGGGCATTTCGTCGTACCATTGGCGGATGTTGGCGCCGACGAGGTTGAAGATCCGCTCTAGTGGCGGGATCAGGTTCTTGGTGATGTAGTACTCGGCGTCGAGGTCGAGCTGAGCGTCGGAGAGGAGTGTCTCGGGGGAGACGCACCGGTCGATTAGTCTCGATCCGGGCGCCCCCGTGACGACTACGTATGGGACGCGTTCGCCGTACTGGGGCTCCTGGCGGGGATCCTCGAGCATCTTTTTTGTGCTGATCAGTGCACCCGGTGGGGGGAGGCCTCGCTCGCTGTAGGTTCCTAGTCGGACTGCTCGCGCGAAGCAGAAGTCTTGGATGGAGACGTTTCCTTGCATAATCTTTGTGCACTGCTTTTGGAAATACTCCTTGACTTGGCTTAGGTCGGCGGTGCGGAAGAGGAGTTTGAGGGCTTTTTCTTCGATCTTCTGTTCGGCGGGTGTGCCATCCCTGCGAACTGTTTCGATGCCCTTCGCGTCGAAGACTGGCTCCTTTTGGTCCCGGTGTTCGTACTTGAAGCCCACGTAGCGTTTCTTCGCGAGTAGGACGCAAGGGTGGTAGACTTTTTCGAATTTGAGCTTCACTGGGCGTGGGTTTATCTCCGTGACGGCTTTGGCGATCTCTTCGCCGATGTCGAAGGCTTGGTCCCGCGTTCGTCCCTTGAGGTACACGAAAAGGCTATCCGTGTCGCCGTAGACGACCTCGGCACCCCAGCGATCGACGGAGTGGATGAACGCTATTGCTTTTTCGAGTGTTTCCCTGCCTGACTGGACAATGCTGTCGGCTATCTCCGAGCAAGGCATCCTTCCCGAGAATGATGCAGAGGTGTACCCGTATGTCACGTTGGCGATGAGCTTGAGGGCGAGCTGTCTGTTATTGAGAAGGCGTTGGAGCGCCTTGTCGTCTTTGTCCTCTTTCATTCCCGCCTTTACCATCACTCGTGTTTCTAGAATCTCGGCCAGCATCCTTGCTAGGAGTGATGTCCGTACCTCCGGCTTCGCGTACATCATGCCATTTGGCGCGATGTTGATCTTGTCTTTGAATAGCTCCAGCAGGCCCGGTTGCCTCTCATAGTCTGTGAATCCCATTTTGCTGCGACCCATCCATGGGCGTGCTCTTCCAAGGAACGTCGAATAGCAGTAATTATAAGCGATCATGATGCTAGGGTACAGCGACTGAAAATCCAAGACCAGAAGAGGGCTAGTGTAGAAGTCACTCTGAGGCTCCATGACTAGTGGCAGGCATTCGAGGGCGTTCTGCTGGCCGACTTGTTTCTTGCTCGGGGACACGAGGAGAAAGTTCTCCGGTTTCGCTATTCGGAACATCAGGGACTCCACCTTGAATTGAGAGCCTCGAGAGACGACAGAAAAGAAGTCGATACCAAGGAGTCGTGCTTGCTCACTGGTTCTCGATATCAGCTCGCTGGAGTCAATGATTTCGAGGTTCATTTGCACACGCGCAACAAAGTAGCCGATTACTTTCAACAGGCTCCGGGGCTGTCCACTCTTGTACCAGTCGGTGAGGTCACGGAATGAATAGTGAGGTGTTCGACGGTGCAGCAAATGGAACACTACATTTTCCATCGTGTATTGGAGCAAATTCAGCTCACTTTTCATCGCTCGCCAAATGTTGACTATATGGAGCCCCGTGATTCGGATAGAAGATGTATGGTTGAAGCCCCATCGATCAGCCTCCTTGCCAAATCTTCCACGCGCCTGTGCTTTGACTCTGGAGAGTTCATCACACATGTCGTAGTCATATTTTTTCCTAGCTCTCTCGATCAAATATCCCCAAGAGCTATTGTGGACTTCGTATCCGGTGATGATATCCGGGTCATGGAAACGCACAATGTCCACTATCCGGGTAAGTAAATCAAGTTCGGTTGGTTCATGTTCTAAATCGATTCTCAAGGCTTTGGACACCTTAGCCTCTGGCATATCACCCTCGCCCTGGAATACAATTCCGACGTGGACACCTGGTAGATGGCTGTTGATATCCAAGTCTTCGTCGTCTGATTTAATCGCCCAGAATACACCGGTGATCTCATCTTCGTCCGGGTTTGGGGCAAGAACGCCACGAGTATTCACGTGAACCTCCAAGCTCATTATGCTCATATATTGAGCCTGATGCTCTACATTCGTAGAACTCTTCTTCTGGGAGTATTTGAACCCGTATTCATTGGCCTGCGTAGGACCCTCGATTTGTGACAAAACGTTTGGTTTCGTTTCCGGTGCACGAAGGTCGGTTCCATGCTTAGCAGATTTGTCCCGCATCTCGGACTGCATGTTTTCAAACCACTCAACTACCTCAGAGCGACTCGGGGGCACAGGCGCAAACTCCCATACTCTGCAATTGGTGGATTCTCGTAGAAACTGATCGAGTTTCTGCTGTTCTTGCTTATCTCGTGTCGGACCGGGTTGATCTCCCATCAATGCAAGATATCTGCCTGACGGATCGAAATCGGGAAGATAATGTATGCTGTTGCCTTCCAAGCGAAATTCCCTACCCGCATAGTCTCGAGGTCGATCAGGAACATCACTTTCGTTGCTGTAGAAAGCCTTCTGGTACACAGCAGACGGGCATCCGTAATCCTTGAGGGTTGAAGAGACCTCCTCGGGGGTTGGACACGGAATCTGCAAACAGTACACTTGGGAACCCAGCGGTATACTGAAGGCATCTCTAATCACTGTCGCCAATTCCGACACATGTGGATTCGTGGTACGTGGTTTGATTTCCGATGATGATGATTGCGGCAGAGACGACATATCGTCATGGGTCGATTCCTTGGAGATGTTTGCAGGAGATTGAGGAATACCACTATGTTCTGCAGTCTCCATTGTTGCTTTCAAGGGACTGGCGCCATCTTGACTAAATCGCAGAATTGTCATAGGGTCGTTGGGGTCCTTTACAACAGGAAAGTTCAATTTACTCTTCTGGCCTTCGCCCCTGAAGTGAGTAGCAAGCTGCGATGCTGGGGGCTTATGCTGCGATGATTGGGACCCTGAGTGTTCGTTCGACTTAACCTCCCCGGTTTCACTTTCACGTCGGCGGAAACTCCTATCGAAATTTTGAAGCGTTCTCGGAAAGCTGTGAGATTGCGTATCCCCAAGAATCCTTCCTCTTTTCCGGGGGTCAACTTCATCCATTAGATTACTTCGACGGCGCTTCGATAATCTAGAAGCATCCGGGACATGTCCATTGAAGGTTTCAAGAGGCTCCTGGCGCCGGTCCCCTGCTAATTTTCCAGGCACGTCCAAAAGCAAAAGCTCATCTTCCGGATCATCATCCATGGATTCTGCACCTTCTTCGTCATCTTCGTATTCTTCGTTGCCTTCCGAAAAGATGTCTGCCACGTCCTCGTCATCGGAACAGTATGAACTCCCATACGGCTGGGCAGACAATGCTACATCCTCATTGACTTGTGCTTCCACACCATCGAGCGCACTCTCATTTCGACCTTGATACGCTTCCAAATTTGAAACCTCGTTATTGTCCGCGAAAAGATCTTCAACGCTCTCCATCGCCGTCTTGATGTTTTTCTCCAGGGGATTCGGGTGAAGATAATTATCAAAAGTCACATCCGCTCCACCAGTAGCGCGTTTCTCTTCAGCGGCGAGCTGAGCAGCCATATCGCGAAACTCATCTTCATGGATCCAGCCGCCCTTCGATTGATTCCTTGAGCTTGACGAGAAGGAAACAAGGTCCTCGGCCCTGAAAGGGCTACTTCCCGGGTCAAGCTGTCCAAGTCGTCTTTTCCGTCTTCGGGACTCATCTTGCCACAGGCCAGCCATGCTAGGGACCAATCGCTCATCCGATGGGAATGATTTGAACAGCTCGGTGAAGTCATGATGGATATCTCTCTCCCTGATTTCCACGCGGTTTAAGATATCCTGCACATGCACGTCTACCTCCAACGGACAGTGGCTTTGTTTAGGCAAATCAGTTTCACCGGAGACACTGTCGGGATTTATAGATCGGTCGTGCCAGCGATGTTCCAGATTACTCAATTCCATATACTCAGGTACAGGTGAGCGAAACTTAACCTTGCCGCACTTCATGATAGCACAGCCGAACAAGCTGTAGTCGCACATCCACTGCGGGATGTATTGCAAATGGCTTTCATAGGGCTGTAAGGGGCGCTTCAGCACCGCCCCTTGTAGGAGTAAATCCGCAAGTCTTGTCGTGTAGATGGGATTTAGAAGATAGATCTTGAAGTAGAACCGGTATCCCACATGGTAGCCGTAGAATGGCACGCCCTTTACAAGGGTGATATGAGCAACAAAGAAGGCTCTTTTGTCGTGTTCATTGCGCCGGTAGCTGACCGCTAGCGCACGATCGATAGAGAGATGCAGACTCCGAATTGAAGAGCTCACTAAGCATAGATCTCTTAGCCAAATTGAGTTGACAGCTACGGAAACAAGATAGACTAACCGTGTTCTGGATTTAAATCGCCAGTATACTCGACGTACAGATAAGGAAACGCGCCATGGATGTGGACGCAGACCTTCTGGCCAGTCTCCGTGGCCCCAAAGACCCTGATCACCGGCACTTTGGGCCTGTCATATTTTCCTGTCGCGCCATCCCGGTAAGGCAAAGGCGGATCGAACTCGGATGGGGCCGCTTGGTAATGATCCACGCAGTTCAAGCGCACTTGGAAGGGGTCCATTAGTTGGCTAGAAGGCGGCCAAACAGCGACATAGCGGTAAAAGAGACAGAGGTAATCACATCGCTGGCTATCTCGCGCTGATACTTTTGTTCTAGAGAAGCCGTGGCGTCGCTCGGGGTAGGATTGCAGCCTCGACGTGCGTAATTGGCCACCACGCGTTCGGAACGCCTTGTCACGTGAAACCGATCATGCATACAGCACAGATAGTGACTAATCGGTCAGATGACTGCGCATAAGCCCAACACAATCGGCGATCTGCAAGAACCTCCAACTCCGACGCTGCTCCGTCGACCGTCTTGTCTGCAGGCCATCCATCAGACATTCTTCTTCGGCAGAGTGTTTGTCGAGTAAACGCTATACGACCTTATTTTCTCTTGTCTAGTTTCCCTTTTCAGTCATCGTCACACAGCCGCAGATCACCATGTCGTCGCGAAAACCCGCCGATGTGGCGTCGAAGGAGCGCAACGAATACATTCCCTCTTTCATCTCCAAAAAGCCGTTCTATATCGATGACGAATCTTCTGCGAACGACTACCTCGAGCATCAACGGTTACACAAGGAAGCCTCCGCCGACCAGTCTAGATGGTATGAGCGGGGAAAGCGTGCTGGCCCAGCCGCCACCAAGTACCGCAAAGGGGCTTGCGAGAACTGTGGTGCTATGACCCACAAAACAAAAGAATGTCTAAGTCGACCCCGAAAACATGGGGCTCGGTGGACTGGCAAAAATATACAGGCGGATGAGGTTATACAGGATGTGTCATTGGGGTGGGACGCCAAGCGAGATCGGTGGAATGGTTACGATCCGAATGAGTACCGACAAGTGGTCGAAGAGTTTGAAGAATTGGAATCATTAAAGCGATCTGCTAAGACCGGCGACGACGACGAGCAGAAGAGGATTACCGATGGCGATCCCGATGAAGAGCAAACACTCGGCGAACTCGGCGATCAAGCCCGTTACGCTGAAGAATCCGACATGGGAAGACAACAGAGCACCGCGACCCGAAATCTACGTATTCGAGAAGACACGGCGAAGTACTTGTTGAACCTCGATCTGGACTCGGCCAAATACGACCCGAAGACGCGACGGATGGTTGATATGGGCGCCCAAGAAGATCAGGCTGCGGCGCTCGTCGAGGAGGAGAACTTTGTGCGTGCGTCCGGGGATGCGGCAGAGTTCGAACGGGCCCAGAAATACGCCTGGGAAGCGCAAGAAAGCGGCGGACCGAAAATCCACCTCCAAGCGAACCCGACTTCTGGAGAGGTTATGCGGAAGAAACAGCACTCAGAAGCCGAGGCGAAGCGTCAAGCCCAACGGAAGGCCCTGTTGGATAAGTACGGTGGCCAGGAGCATCTGGATCCCAGCCCGCTACGGGATACGATGGTTGTCGAAAACGAGAAGTTTGTTGAATATGACGAAACGGGTGCCATCAAGGGTGCGCCAAAGAAGGCCGTCCAGTCCAAGTACCCAGAGGACATCCTTACCAACAACCATACTTCGGTATGGGGCAGTTGGTGGCACGATTTTGAATGGGGGTATGCGTGTTGTTATTCAACTGTCAAGAACAGTTACTGCACTGGCGAGGATGGGAAGAAGGCCTTCGAAGAGGCTGACAAAATGTTAATGCTGGAAGCCGACGGGGACGAACAAGACAGGCCGTTGGATAACGAGGCCAGTGAAGCCCATGGCGCTCAGAAATATGAAGAGCACGAACAGAAAGACGAAGATTCCGGCAAGAAAACGAAGAAGCGTACGCTACTGGAGGCGCAAACCGGCATTTCAGAAGAGGAGCTGGAGTCGTACAAGCGCAGCCGTCTCGACGCCGCCGACCCCATGGCGGCATTTATTGGCAAGGACAGTATTGCCGAATAGTCTTCTGTCGTGTCCATTCTTTCAAACGATCTCTGATAAGGCGTCTGGTTCTGGTAAATACCCTTTTGACCATGTATACAAAATAGTGCAGTATCTATAGCAATTTAGTTCTTTTAAATATAAATGGATACCCAAACATGCTTTTAAACGAAGCCGTGTATTATATTCTTCGTAAGGACAGTTATTGTCGTTAATAGATGGTTAGAATGTAGAACACCACCAACATCCACCACCCAGATCTCCAGATCTACTAGAATATGCCGTCATGTGATCTGAGCGCCTTGAAATGGTCAAAACGCAGCGCAAAGCGATCTAGCCGTGATAAAAACGGTACTGTCGGAATCATTGCGTCGAGACGAATCGAATGATTGTTCTTTAAGCCCACTTTCAAAAGCTCTGTGCAACGGCCCAAAATGGTCACATTTCCAACCCTTCCCCAAACGGCCGACCAGGCAAACTTGCAGCGAATTTCTCAAGATTTCTGTTGCGAGGTTTCCCTAGCGCCGATTTAGTCCCACGTGACTCACCCCAAGTCACATGTTCTGCCCGTCCCGTGGCGGCGGATCACGGGACCAGGGCACAAGCCCTGGGAGCCCACAACCCAAGGCACTAAGCGACTCCTGCCGCAATCTCAGCGCGACTTTCGGATACGCTGCAGCGACGACGACGACATCGACAACCAGCCCTTCAACGGAATCGCCAGGTGAGTCCCACCACAGACAGCTCCAGTGCTGCGCATTCTTGCTTCACGTCAAGGAAGTCATTCTAACCTTTTTATCGGTTGTCTTTATAGTTCCATAATCCAAGATGAGTACGTGCAAATCCGCGATCCCACCGTCCACATACCTATCCCCGGGCCTTTGCGTCGACCCGTCCGATATACGTTGCAGACTGACACCGGATTACAGCGAAGGGTACCTCCAGCTTTGGCAAGCGCCACAACAAGACTCACGGTCTCTGCCGGCGTTGTGGTCAGTATACTCCATTCCACCCAACCTGATCGATCGTTGGCGAACTCCACCCCCGACGGAAAAATATCTGCGGATTTATGTGCAAAAAGAGGAAAGGATCTGGAGGACATGAATATGCATCGTCGGGTGGAGGAACACAGCATCGTCATGGAGATTTGAAAACAAATGCAGATCGAGCTGACTGTTGGATTTCTTTCTCGAATACAGGCCGCCGCTCGTGGCACATCCAGAAGTCGACCTGTGCCAACTGCGGCTACCCCGCTGCTAAGACTCGCAAGTGTACGAATCCCCGAACCAATCCACCTTGAGTTTATTACATTCCATCCGTCTCCCTAGACGGGATCAGCGAACAAACGGATTTGAAGAACATTGGCTCACGAACTCTTTTTAATGGAAACAGTCAACTGGGGCGAGAAGGCCAAGCGCCGCAAGACCACCGGCTCCGGCCGCTGCGCTCACCTGAAGGACGTCCACCAGCGCTTCCAGAACGGCTTCCGCACTGGTGTCCCCAAGGGCGCCCGCGGTCCCGAGAACCACTAAGCTCGCCATTTCCCCCCCTCGAACGTCGCATTTGAATTTCCTTTTTTCTCTTTTCGATCTCGGAGGCTGGAACAAAGGGCTGGTATGACGAGCAGGAGGAAGTGTGTGCGTGTGTGTTAGCCTGGCAATGTGAAATGATGAATTCCCAGCAATTGCAATGCTAGGCGACTTAAGGACGCTTTTTCCCCCTCCCCGTGGAGTTGGTGTTGGGAACTTGGTCTCTTCGTTTGTCGGCATTATCGTGTTTTTGATTTTTTAGAGCAATTCAAAAGATAAAAAACCGACGGCAAATGAGAGACGGGAAATTACTTTTTTCCTCCTCGTGGGGTGTTCAAAACTGGGTGAATAAAAAAAAAGATAATATTAAAAAAGGGAAAAGCATGCATGGATTTCCTTTCTGATTGTTTATGGCTGGCGAATATCCCCCGTGTCGTGACAGATGCTATATTGAGATACTACACTCTTCAATGTGATCTGTCTTACCTGAAGTATAACCCTCTCCCGTACGAGATCTGCTGCCCTGCGATGATCTCATGCTACTCATGCTATTCAATGGAAAACGGTTTGTCTTTATCGAACCAAGATCCACCTCCCATGCCCATGCTATATATACCTGTATCTATACAACGCCCTATGACGCCAACCAAAAAAAAAAACCCACCAAGTCCAAATCCATTGATATCAACGCTTGAGAGTCCTCTCACTCACCTCTCCCAAAAACACAGACTCCCCCATCCCTCTGCACAAAATACAACACCTCGCGCTCTTCCCACTTATCTTCCGCCCCCGCATCAACCTGCCCCCAAGCACCCCCTTTACTAACCCGCAGCACACCACTGACATCTCGCGCCGCCCCGGTCTCAAGGGTCCGCAGCTGCAGGACCATCTGCGCGCGGTGGGCCGAGCCAATCGCGAACGCGGCACTTTCCATCTCCAACGGTGTAGAAGGTTGATGTGCCGATTCTGCTGCATTGTGGATTAAGGGCGAGTCGGCGGATAAGGCTAGTACTGTTGCGTGAACGTTCTAAGCACACCACTCATTAGCTCTCTCTCTCCCTACCTCCCGTGACCATAAACGGTGGAGCCAAGACAAACCTGCTGTAACCCCATAATCCACTCCCCCATCTCCGTAGCGCCGATGCCCTTCGCGGGCCCCGTAGCGGCGAGTAACAAATCCGGCTGGTCCACGATGAGCAGGATCTCCGGTTCTTCTTCTCCTTCGTGGCCAGGTGTTACTGGCGTCTTTAGCTGCTTGATCACAGTAGAGATGTCATTCTCGAGCGCGTCGAGGGCTTGTACGCCTGTCCCGGTGAGATGCAGTCGCTTTACGGGACCGGCTCCTCTCGGCTGCTGTTGTACTTGTTGGTGGGGGTTGGCCGGAGTAGGTCGTGCGGGCGCGGGTTGTGGGCCGCCTCGTGCGGGCACCGGGCCCGGTTGAGAGCGCACAGGGAGGACGGTTCGAGAGGGCGCAGGTCCAGGGGTTGTTGATGTGGTGGTTTGGGAGGAGGGAGTGGGCGTGTAGAAGAGCTCGGAAAGGCCGTCGACGAAGGCAAATTGGCGCTTATCGGTGAGGCGCGCGAGATCGAGGCCCTATCCATAGTTATTTATCATTGATATCATCCTCCAGTGTATCTCATAGCATAGTCGCTTGAGTAGTAATCAATCGAAGAAGGTAACCCACCAATCTCTTCGCCTCAGACCTCCAAAATTCCCACCCCCGCAGAAAGCTCACTAACACAACCTTCCTCTTCCTCCCACCTTCACTCCCATGGAGCCCAAAAGCCGCGTCGCCGACCGGCGCGCCCAGTGCCGAATAGAGGTATCGCAAAATCAGCCAATTCCCCGTCGCGCCTAGGACCGAGGACAGGAGCGTGAGGGAGGATTGCGGGAGGGCGGATACGTAGGGCGCAAGGAGGGGTGGGAGGGGCGGTTGGGTGGGCATGGCTGCGCAAGCGGTCGCCTCGAATTGGACGATTTGGGGACGTATGGCTTGAGAGTCTGTCTGTGTGGTCTGATCTGAGGGGTGGGTGTTTGGTGTCGGGTTGGTGGTCGGAATATGACGTTGTATAAAAAAAAAAAAATAGAGAGGGGTCGTTGATTCGTTGGTGGGGTTTCACCGCCAAGAGTGGTGCCTGTCGCGTATGATATGGGTTTCTTGATCTTATATGGTGAACCATCGGTTCATTTATGGGATTGACCATGGTAAATACATATATATAGTTATATACATATACGCATATGTACATATCTTGTTGCACATCATGTGGCACTCTGGATGTACTGATGAAGTTGTTGTGGTGGAACCGGTCACTCTATATGTATGTATATATATCTGTACAACCACATCTACTACAAGATCAGCCTTAATGTATCCGCCAGAGACGGGGTATTTTGAGTTTACACGTCAAAGAACAATAGACCATATCAGCAGACAATCAAGTATGAGATCTCCCCCCGTCAAAGAACTCCCGCGCAAAGACACAGGAAGACACAGGAAGACGCAGAACCCCTCATCGACACCTGAAATGCCGGGTGTGGACGCCGCGCCCTCACGTGACCCCCTCTTCCCCACACGAAGGAACAGATTCATCTTCAACCCAGCCGGGCATAAATGAGTTCGACTCCGTGCAATCAATCAGTCAATCACCCTCCGCCAGGTGTCCAGCAGCCAGTTCGGCCATCTTCTTGCGCGCCCCCCTTTTCTCATGGGATTCGGGGTTTAAGATCCACTCCGTCCTGATCAAACCCTCTGGTTAGGCCGGAACCTGAGGCTGCAATTGTATATACATTCCATTTCCGTGCCGATCGTGAGTTGGCCCCGTCTGTCTTTGGTCTTTGGTCTTTGGTTTTGCATCGAATCGCTTTTCTTTGGATGGTTTTTGTTGTTTTTATCTTTTCCTCTTTTTCTTTAAAATTTTTTTTATTTTGATTTTCTGAAGGTTTTTTTTTTTTTGGCACCATCTTCCGAAACCCGAACAATGTACACCATTCATTTCCAAAGTTGACCCACCCAATCTTGATACTGTATACGCTTTTGATTCTTGCCTTTCGCATGTTCGTCGTGTAGAATGGAACCCTCGTTGCCCTTTCAGCAATGCAATGTCGCATCCTTTCGTGTTGTATCATAAACAACCCTCTGGACGGTCAATCGGCCTTGACATGCATATAAACCGCAATATCAGTCGGTGGCTGCTAACGGTCCTACACAGATGACACGAGTTCGGCGTAACTGTCAACGAGTACCAACATAGTGGTATACGAACATAAGACGACCACCAGCCAATATGGCCAGTACCCGGGATTCCCACTCTTACGCCGTGAGTTGACCTCTAGACATTATCCTCCGTCGATTTCAAGAAGGTGAATACTGACTATCAGGCTCTAGTGTGACGAGTGCCGTCTCCGAAAGTCCAAGGTGAGAAATTTCCTGTCGTGTTCGTTCCGGTAGCATGTATTAATGTTGGTGTAGTGCTCCAAGGAAAAGCCGGTTTGCGCGCAGTGCAAGCAGTTGACCAAAGAATGCAAATATAGCCCAAAGGTCACGAGAAGCCCCCTAACGCGACAGTGAGTCTTTCGCCCTGTATGTTTATCAATGTCAGCATCGAATGCTCACCTCGCCGAGTTAGGCACTTGACGTTCGTAGAAGACCGATTACAAGCGTTCGAAACTGCCCTCTGCAGATTATTCCCAGGAGGTGACCTGGACGCCACAGTCCGCTCTCTCCTGTACGACCAAGATGGCCCGCCCAAACCGGACCCATCATCAAAGTCCTCATCGAGGCACTCAACCCCAGCAAAGACAGAGGCAGATCGGACCGAGCCAGCGCCGGAAGCCCTACCGCAGCAGGCCGACGGGTTCGACTGGACCGAAAACAAAATCACCGTCGGTGATCTAACGGACGGCATGGCTGCCCTGTCCATCAAGCCGGAGGGCGCCGGCTATTTCGGCGCATCCTCGAGCGTGGTGCCCCTCCGGGCGTTGCTCAAGCACGGCTTCGATCTCAACATCCCTGCCGGGACGACGAAGCATATCGGCTCCGCAGGAGTGCCACTGAAGTCGCAGCTTCTCAACTCCGCCCCATCCGGCCTCGTCGAGCAAGCTTTCATGGACGCGTTCTTCCTCAACTACCACTCGAGCTACCCATTCGTGCACGAAGAGACCTTCCGCGCACAGTTCTATGAGCAGGCCCCACGACGCCACGGCCAAGCCTGGCAGATCCTGCTAAACACCATCCTCGCGCTCGGAGCATGGAGCATCGGCGACGACAACTCCGACCTAGACATCACCTTCTACCAAGAAGCGCGCAGCCACCTGCAGCAGGTCTCCGTGTTCGAGACAGGTAATCTCACCCTCGTGCAGGCGCTCCTCCTCCTGAGCAACTACGCCCAGAAACGCAACAAGCCGAACACAGGCTGGAACTTCCTGGGCCTCGCCGTCCGGATGGCCATGAGTCTGGGCCTGCACAAGGAGTTCCCCGGGTGGAAGATCAGTCTCCTGCAGCGCGAAGTCCGCAGAAGACTCTGGTGGGGCGTCTTCATCTTCGACAGCGGCGCAGCAAAGACATTCGGCCGCCCCATCCTCCTCCCCGAAGAGAGCGTCATGGACGCGAAAAAGGTCCTCAACATCCACGACAACGCCCTCACCCCGACGACCACCACCCTCCCCGCCGAAGTCGACGGCCCGACCCTATACACAGGAATGATCGCGCAAGCGCGCTTCCACCTCCTCACAAACAGCGTCTACCAACGGCTCATCTCCAGCCCGAGCCTAACCCCAGAGGAGACGCTCACCCTCCAGAAACCCATGGAAGAGTGGTACAACGGGCTCCCGCACTACTTCAAACAGCCCATGCCGCAGGAACCCGCCAACTTCGTCCTCGTCCGCAACCGCCTCATGTGGCGCGACTGGAACCTGCGCATCCTCATCTACCGACCGATTCTGCTCCGGTGGGCGTCGCGACGGTGGACGCCCAATACCCCCGCAGCCGATCACGAAGACCCCTACGAGGCAGACTGCAGGACGCTCTGCCTCCGCAACGCGCGATTGACCATCTCCTCCATCACGGATTTCATGAGTAACCACATCTGCACCAGGATCGGCGCCTGGTACATGCTGTACGTCTCCCCTCTCCATCTCCCCTACCACAAACAGTCCCTTCTTCCTCCAAGGCCAAGCAGACACTAACAGAAGCAGATACTTCCTCTTCCAAGCCGGCCTCATCCCCATCGTCATGCTAATGACAGACCCGACAAGCGCCGACGCACCAGCCTGGCTCCAAGACATCGAAGCAACCAAGAGCCTCCTGCTGCACCCATCGCTCAGCAACAACCGCCTCGCAACGCGCTGCCTGGAGGTCATCAACAGACTGTGTTCGCCGGTGTACTCGAGCCCGCCGGCGGATGGGTCATCGTCGACGAGGCAGCCGCAGCAGCCGTCGATTCTGACCCAGTTCTCGGATCAGCTGTTTGGGGATCCGACTTTTGTGGGGAGCATGTTCCCGGATGTTGATCAGGAGTTGAATTTGAGTGGGATGGATTTTTCCGAGTGGGTGAATTTTACGCCTCAGCATGAGTTTCAGTCGTAGGTGGATTTATCGATGAGGTTGAGGTTGAGGTTTACGGGGGGGAATGGAGGAGGGTTCAAAAGGTAAATCAAGAAAAGGAAGAAAAGAAAAAAAAAAGAAAAGAAAAAGAGGTGGTATTTCATTGAAACAAGACAAGACGGAGCAGGATGTGTTTGCCCCTTCTTTATTATCTCCGGGGCAAGGATTGCACGAGACTGTCCGGGAGATGGGTATTAGACATGTCTGTTTCAGCGGTGCATCGCAACATGTCATGCCACATGTTCATCCTGCTGCACAAACGGCCTATCCAGGGCATCTTTGGCGAGGGTCCCGACTCCAGTCCCGTGGAGATGGGCTTCGATCTGGACAATGCGCTGCTTTTCCTCGTGGGCTGCCGTGTCTCCGAAGATGAGGTCCATGTCTTCTAGGGTCTGCGTTTGTCAGCACGTGTGCTGTGGTATCTTGGGTCATGGCATCTGGACCATGATAGGGGTGGGAAAAGACAGGAAGATGGTACCTTTCCACGAGTCTCCGGAATACAAAAGAAGGTGAACACCAGCGCGATAAGACTGAACGCCGCGAAGAAGATATACGTTCCCCAGGTGATGGACTCTAGCATATCTGGTGTGATGAGGCCGATTATACTGAGGAAGACAAGGGTGTGCTCGTCAGCGTGGGATCTGGGAGATGAAGGAGGTGATAGACATACAAATTACACATCCAGGTGGCGGACGTCGTGATAGAGATGGCCTTGGAGCGGATGGATAGGTTGAAAATCTCAGAGGGCAGGACCCATCCGATTGGCGCTTTGTAACTAGTTAGTTAGATATCCTTTTTGGCATTTATTTCATCATTTCCCATTTTGGGGTATTCGCGCAACTCGAGCGTTGGGAGAAAGAGATGGAAGAGAAGACCCACCAAACGAATACGAGAAGTTGATATCGTAGATATAGATAAAGGCGATCCCAGCCCATCCCGCCGATTTATGATTGATCAAGTCGGATTTGTAGGCACCGATGATGGCGCCCACGATGACGAGCGAGATGCCCGTGCCCACGGCGCCGGACATGAGGAGCACGCGACGACCGACCTTGTCGATGAGGAAGAGGGCTGGGAGGGTGCTGAGGCAGTTGACGATGCCGTATACGCCGGTTGCGAGGAGGGATGTCTGGGTATGTTAGAGGTGCTAGATGGGGATTCTCAATCTCTAAGCGAACGTACTGTGTTCCCGTCCAGTCCTAGCTGGCTGAAGATTGTCGGGGCGTAGTATATGATCGCTGTCAACGATTAGTGAGTGGCTAGAATGTGCAAAGGGAGAGGAAGTACCGTTGCATCCTATGAATTGTTGGAAGAACATGACGCAGCATCCTATGGCCAGCCGTCTGAAGCGCGCCCACGTCGTGAAGAAAGATGCGTACTGAGATGGTCAACCCTGCCCTAGATCTGGGGAGAAAGGGAAAAGAAATACCTGAGCCGTATGTAACGAGAGACCAGACTTCCCCGGGAAATTCTCCCTCGCAAAGGTATTCTCCAGCATGATGGAGGCCTTGATTTCTAGATACTCCTGCACAAGAGTGGGATCGCCCTCTGTTAGACGGCGCAGCCTGGACAACGCACCCATGGCTTCGCCGTCGCGCTCTTTCATCAGCAGCCAGCGGGGGGAATCGGGGAAGAAGAGCATCCCAAAGCCGAGGATGACAGCGGGGACGATCTGGAAAGCCAGCGGGAGACGCCATGAGGCTTCGGACTGGCCGGTACAGCCCGTGGCGGGGACGTCATGGTACGGATCAAAGGTGTTCTTGGGACCGCTGTAGGGCACGTCTGGGGCACAGCGAGTGCCTCCGATGTAGTTTGTTCCGTAGTCGAGCCAGTAACTTATTAGGATGCCTAAAGTGACGGATACTGGATGTACCTTTAGCAAGTCGAACGGGTTCTGTCCTTTGATGTAGACTCACATTGCTGTAAGACCACAAGACCCCCTCTAATTTCCGGAATTGACACCTGCAGTAAATTGGCATAGAGCGCATAAACCAGAGAGCATTGCTCGTACCTCTGAGATGTACAAGGGAACCACCATGGTCAGTTGCCCGATAGCCAGGCCCGCGACAGCTCGTCCTGTATCCAGGTCAGTATGTCTCGGGCAATATCCGACGCAGGTCATACCGATGAAGAGCATAGGGAAGTTCACGGCAGCGCATTGGATGACGGAGCCGATGAGGAACACAACCACGGCAAGATTGATGGAGCGTTTTCGCCCGAGGCGATCTGCAATGGGGCCGTTGACCAGCGAACCGAACCAGGCGGCTGTATACGTTAGTTCCTACTCTTGTATGCTCGCACGAACACGGACGACAGTACATACCTAACAAGAGCGTCGACACAAACCATCCCTTGAAACCACTATCCGAATGCACACGCGGGAAACGAGCAGCAAAGGACTCCATGGTGATGACGCCCGAGACGACACCCTGGTCGTAGCCAAAAAGCAGACCTCCGAGGGTAGAAAACTACCTGATTAGATCCTGCTTTCTGCAACCCATCCAAAAACTCACCGACGCGACACCCAAGAGATAGGGATTCTGAGAAATCAGGGCGAACCCGCCCTTGGAGGGTCTATCCACAGGTGACTCGGACTCCATTGCTGCGATGTTGATCCTCCACAGGTACTGTATCCTGTATCCTGGTGATCATCGTGACCCCTGTAAAGCGCGACCGCTCCTTTATACGTCTGGCATTTTCAACTGTATGACAATCCACCCCCACGCCCCCAACTTCTCACGGACCAACACTCGGGATGGAGACAGGAAAGGTATGGGGGTGGGTATATCGGTCGGCAGGTCAGTAAACGGAGGGATGTAGTCCGACCAATGGAACCGAAAGCCGAAGACGATCCAATGCGGGGGAGATCTGGGGTTGACGTTGGGGTCGGAGAGTTCCGCATAACTTGTTCTTGGGAAAGATGTCTTCTATCTCGAGCTGGACTTAATTTTACTGTATTTGATCTTACTTCTTATTATATCTTCCGACCAACAGTACAACCACCGGAAAATAAACCCAACATGCATTAGGTTCTCACTCAGCCTCAGCCTCATACGAACAGGACAAGGATACATACTAGCTACATCTAGACCTCAATAAATACTGGATTCAAGCGACTAACTCGACATCACCAGAGAAAGAAATCTAATCATATCGGTTCAACGCCAGTCTCGGCGATGATACAATGTATCAAGTGGGGCATCGGCCATCGGAATGTCCGACTGTCCGATGATAGACTGTTCGGTCCATGGGACTGCTGCATCTTCCCGTCTTGGTACTGTTCAACTGTTCGATCGGTTGGAAGATTCTGCAATCTGTTTTTGCGGTAGATTTCCTGATGAGTTGAGGTTTGTGAGGACACAAGAATATCGATCATATGCTATAATCATGGGGATCAAGATGGCTCTATATCAACAGCTATCCACAGATATACAGATCGACACGCGCAAGTCTGCATTGACAGTACCCAGATAATGATCAGGTGAATCTGAACAATGCACTCGAGTTTCTGTACTCATATCGGCGATCCTTGTGGATACGTCGGGCTGAACAGAATCGATGCCGATGGTACTGACACTTAGTCTGTTCGCCACGAGTAAGCTCCTGTATCTTTCTTTGATAGATATAGATAGCATGACCAAGAGATCGAATAACTACTCCATTTCCTCACCTTCTGTCTATATAAACCACTTCCGTCCACTGGACTCACATCAGACAACACCCCTCACCACCTAGGTGTCTCACAGACAATCTTCATAACCTTCCTAACAACCGTCCAAACACCCTCAAACCACATCCCTTCACCCATCATTCCCTCCTCCCCCCAAAAAAAGTCAAAAAGATCAAAAAAGAAAATGCCATCCCCCCTCAACATTGGCGTCCTCCTCCTCCCAGGAACCCAACTCCTCGACCTCTCCTGCATCGACCTCCTCTCCATGACAGACCCCACCTACCTCTCCGCCTGCAACCTCCCCCAAACCCTAATCCACCTCGGCCACTCTACCCAAATCCACTACATCGGCCTAGGGGGCACCGGCACCCTCACACCCCTAACATCAAACATCAACATGCAACTAACGGCCTCCCCCACCGACTCGCACGTCAGCCCAGGCACTCTCAACGCGCTTCTCATCCCAGGCACAGATCCGAACGTCGTTCCTGACGCCGCATATCTAGATTTCATAAGATGGCATCATGCACACGGGACGCATATTCTGAGTGTTTGCACAGGGAGTTTCGTTCTTGGTCATGCTGGGATACTAGCCGGCAAGGTATGCACAGGGCCGAGACTGCTCGTCCCACTGTTAAGGGCTCGATTCCCCGAGGCCAAGGAGTGGGTGCAGAGTGTTAGGGTTGTGCGGGATGGGAACATTTGGACGAGTGGTTTGTTCTTTCTCCCCCCTTCTTCTTTTACCTTCTCTTCTTCGAGAAGAGATATACTCCAATCTGATATACGAAACTAATATTATGAAAGGCGCCATAACAAACGGTCACGACCTCATCATGCAATACCTCGCTACAATCGCCTCGGCACCCCTCGTCAACGCCATCTCCATCATGGCTGATTTGCCCGCTCGGCTGGTCGAGTATGAGACGTCCGTTGCGGGTGATACGACGCACTTTGTGTGGCAGATTATTAGGGCTGTGCCGAGTATGTTGTATTGGGGGTTTGGGAAGTAGAGTTCTATAACTATTTCTATGGAGTATGGGGGGGATGAAGTGATGTGATGGACGGTTCTGTTGTTTTCGTGGAGTCTAGCGTTGGTTTTAATAACTCGATTACCTGCAAAACTCTCTAAAATAGTCTACAGTACGAGATCTTGATATCTTATCAAACATACAGTTGATCATTGCTTGCACTGAATAAATAGCCTCCCAACCGAATCCGTAATCAACAATTTGCATCGGAAGCCAGAATTGAAAAGCAGAATCGAAAGGCACGCTCACACCCATGCAACGCGGAGCAGACGCTAAATAACATCGGATCGTTCAAACCAAACACATTGACCGGACAGCTCTCCTTCCGCCATGCTAAAAACAATGTTAGGCCCTGAACTGCCTCCGGAGGGCCGCGTCCAGATCGCGAAAAGAAAGGAACGTGCGTGATATTCATTCATCGGTTACGGTGGGAGAAGGATAAGATACTAAAGCTGATGGACATGATAAGGTCATATCTGTTCGTGGACCAGGGTAACGGAAGGGGCGTAGGAATAGAGGGGTAGGACATCGTCATTTGCGTGATTCATGGGGGGCCCAGTGAATCGGCTCGAAATCTTGATTCTGGAAATGAGCCTGGTTGTATGGGGAGCTGCAAGACAAGTCAGCATTAGGACACATCCCATTCGAGACATGAACTCACTTCTTAAACGGTGTGGTAACCGGGAGCGAGTGGCTGAGGTTGGGTTTCATCACCAACGGATTTAAGCGGATCTGAGGTCCATCCGTCGACCGCGGTGGTAGCGAACTCATTGGGGGTGGGGGTGCGGACATTCGGGGAGGCGGCGGCGGCGGCGAGGCGACGGGCATCGGAGGGGGCGGAGTGCTCATTGGGGGCTGAGGATACATATCCTGGGGCGACGAGACGCGGAACGGACTGGAGGGGTCGGCCGGCACGGGGGATGCACCAAGTCCACCAAAGGATGGATCCACCATGAGGTTGGGGATAGACATCGAAATGGAGCCCACGTCGAATGGAAGGGCTCCTTGGTCCCAGGCAGGGTAGTTCGACGACATGGCATATTGGTAGTTCACCACGGGCTCCATGTTCACGGTTGGTTCGGGTTGGTAGAGAAGATCATAGTGGCCCCTGTGCGCGTTAGTAACTTGGTAAAAAGGTTGGAGGGGTCGTATTCCATAGACGTACGGGCGATACAGCAGACGGATAGTCGCCGCCGTCGGTCGACTTTGAGTCAACTGATGCGGGGTCACGGCGGTCCCTTCACTGCGGTCGAGGTACAGAATTTCGACGGCAAACCCAGATGCATCGATTACTCCGTCGACCAACGCCTGAAGCCCGACTTCATCGATCTCGGTCTTGGTCGGATCTATCCGTGACGAGCAGTATTGGTCCACCGGGAGCGAGAGAAACGCTTGATATCGGTGGGGATTCAATCTCATCCATGCACTCGTCAGAAACTAAATCGTCAAAGAAAGTTAGGCTGATCAATCGTAACCTTATCTTCGAGTCCCACGGGGGTGAAGGCAAGGTAGACTGACCCTAAAATGGCACAGAATGGCGCTGGAGTTGTACTCGTCGTTGAAAGCATCCACGAGGAATTGATCGTCGCGCACACCTCGCTGGATCGCCTCGGAAATCTGGGTGAAGATCTCCTCTGTCGCCTCCACGAAGATCCCGTAAATGTGTTCTTCCTGGCCGACTTGTTGGAGCAGTACGTTCAAGGACTTGATCCGTTCGTGCTCCTGGTGTACCTGAAGCGGATTGCGCAGGTTAAAGAGGCTCTCAAAATACCCGAACGCGATCGCTACACGATGTCAGTTCGCCGTGGTCCACTAAAAACGGACTAGCCTTACCTCTCCAGCCACAGTTTCCATCGCCCTTCATGATCCGCATGAAGGGATGGGTGACGGCAAGAGCCTATCGGTGCAGCGTGAGCAAAGCCACCGGTCCATCCAGGTCAAAGAGCGCTTACGCTGGTCTTGGTGGCAAAGGTGGGGTCCGAATTCGCATATTCAAGGGCCACGGTATTGCTCGATTGTTTTGGGGAGACGAGAGGACCCTACGGATTCGGGTTAGCCCAACGCTCAGGCTTTTGTGATGTCGCAAGCGTCATTCCCCACCGGCAGCTCAGCCTCAAACTCATTGGAGAGTTTTTGGAACCTCTCCATCTCGTCGGCGGAGAGGGCATTCATATTGAAGAACGCGGGATTTTCGGCGTAGAGGATGCTCGATAACTGCGGGAGGCCGTGGCTGAAGAAGGCGGAAGACGACAAGTACTGGGGATAGAAGCCGGTGGTGGATTCCTGCCGGGGCGGGAAATGGTTCAGAGGGTCAAAATGGTTCCAGGGAATACCCGACAAGGACATCGCATCGAAGAGTCCAACACAGCTGCACAGGAGGCGCCTTCCTTATACACGGGGTTCACGACGTTTTTGCAGAGGCCTTTCCATCACCACCTCGAGCGTCAACAGGCAAGAACGTCTTTCTCGGTCAGATGACGGGGACGAATGACGTATTACGAACCAGGCAAACTAGCATCTTCCAACGCAAGGTTTCTTTTTGATGATGTGCCTCGTAAGGACTGACGCTCGAGGTCAGAGTGCACCCGCCTGCGGTTTTTCTTTTAGTGAGAACGGACCTATTAAACATTGTCTTAGCACCAATCAGAGTCACAGGCACAGACGCTTTGATCTGAAGAATCAGGAGAAGGAAAGAGAGACTAGGCGATGATCCAGAGTAATGAAAAGGGAATGTTAACCAATAACAAGGGCAGATGGTAGCAAGCGATTGATCATCTAGGAGGTGGAGAAAGAGAGATGGACAATGATGGAAGGTTCAACGGAGCGGAAGTATGGGGGTGTGATGTAAAAGGGAACGATGAGACCCGATGGGAAGAGCCAATGGAGAGAGACCAAAGCATTACTCGATGGAAGAGAAGTAAGGAAAAGGGGGAAGTGACAGCACAGTGTGAGGAAGAGGAAGGAGGAAAGAGAAAGAGGTGGACGACGCCCAGGTGTCACGACATGTGATATGCAAGAGGGTCGTCAGAGAGATTGATATATAGGGTGAAGCAGTAGATGCAGCAGCTAAACGAACAACCAAGCAAACATTGAAGCATGAAAGGCGGAGGAAGGTCCAGCCATTCACACGTCCCGTCCTTTACGAAGATGCGACCCATGCAGACATGAAGCTTGGAGTGACCGATCTATCCAGAAGCTGACTTGCTGGGTGATTCTCCCTCTGGGACAAGGTTGCAATGCATATCCACACATCCACATTTGATGCATCTATTTGGTAGTTTTTTTTTCTTTTTTTTTTTTTTCTTGCTTTCTTTCTAACCTCTTTTGATTGTTTTTCTTTTGTTTTCTTTCTCTCTCTCGTTTTTTTTTTTTTCTTTTCTCTTTCCCATCAACCAATTGGTAGGGGAGAGATATCAAATGATGGAGGTGGAATGCAGAGGGTGAAGTCATGTACCATGGAGCAATTCGAAAACGATAAGAAGATATAAAAAAAAATAAAAAGGAACAGAAAATAAAGATAAACCAACAGAATGAAAAAGGACGAGAAATGAAAAAGTAAATAACAAAGACAGAAAGGGAAAAGACAAAAAGGGTCGAAAACAAATGGAAGCAACAGGGAAAAGATAAGAAAAGAATAAGGACGAATAAAGAAATAGAAAAGTTGCTGACCTTTTGTTTCTTAAGGTTCTTTTGCTACAGATTCAAGAAAAAAAATAAAGATGCATACTTACAAGCCCACACACGTGCCGTGGCGTATGCGATCTGTCAAGGGACTGAATGAAAGAGTAGTGGTAGTTTAAGTTCGGTTTGCTGGAAATCCCAAGATCGAGTCAGGAAAGCGATCGGACGATTGATAGACCGGTGTAGCTTAGTCGTTGGGGGAGATAAGAATCCCAATGGGGAAAAGAAAAAGAAAGGGAGACAAAGTACGGAGGTCAGCAGGGGTTTGGAGTTAAGTACTTTGAGATGAGGAGAAAGCGAGGGAGAGAGAGGGAGAGAGAGGGAGGGAGGGAGGGAAAGAGGAGAGAGAGAGAAGAGGAGAAGAAGAGAAAAAAGATGATCGGATCCCTTAAGGTGATTCTTGGGGATTTAAAAATGGAGAAATTAATATCGTAGTCGGCGAGGAGACTTCACCTTATTTATTCCTTATTCTTTTATCCTTTTTTTTTCTTTTTCTACATAATTATAATTATTATAATAATTATGATATTGATAATTATTATTTGACTGATTCTTTCGATCCACCCTCGTCTACTCCGTACTCTCACACACAGTGAACAACATCCTCCGTAAATCTTCGAAGAAATCGGGTGAACGAGGAAGAGTCGAATGGTGGGACAAGGCGGTGGTCAGTCAGAGCGCGGGGTTCAAGATAAGTGTATACCAACCATTATTCAATTCTTGAATGACCAACGGCCGGTTCGTTGGAGACCAACGGACAGACTAGAGTCAGGTCCGTTCGAGGTCCGATCCACTTAATCGTATCAAGATATAATCAACTACAACAAGAGTGATAGACAAATAAACGGATAGATGGAACGAGCACGAGCCCACACACTGCAGGAATAGTGGTTGCCCTGTCCAGGTATTAGGGATGGTCAGCGTCGATGAAAGCTCGATCGATAGGTTAATCAAAGCCAAGATCAATCATGTTCAGCTGCATCTTCTGGCTCCTCTTTCCAGCATTACTTTCTCCGACGCAAGATGACGCTGAACTGTACCTGGTATCCTACGGATCTTACCATCCACACACCATCATTCCTGATAATTAGTTATGTCATCCATATCATGTTGTTGGTGTTATTAATATTGATCATTTTTGATTCTATTCTGTTGTCATTATATTATTATTAAATGATCTTGTACCATCACTCAAGCAAAGATGGAACTGGCATCAGGAAAACCAGTCCACCCCATCAATATGCCGATCCTCCCTTCACCATTGGCAGCGTCATCCGAGTGGGTTCGTTTCTTCAACTCTA